TAGTAATTTGAGAACTATAGAAAATGACCTCCATAATTGGAATGTTAAGAACTTTTCCTGGTTCGTTAGAGCAGCCATTGTTAAAATGATTGTCCTACCCAGATTATTATATTTTATGCCTGTGCTTCCTGTCAGGCTTCCGGCATTTGTTTTCAAACGTATACAGTCCTTACAAATTCATTTTGTTTGGGCAGGCAAGAAACCTAGACTTAAATTTCATCTTTTTTTTATTTTTATTTTTTACTATATAAATGAAAAAAAAAAACCAACCCAAAATTTGTAAAAGGGTTTTCTTAGTCTCTATTATAAAACTGCAAAACTGTAATCTTTCTTAAATAAATTTAGAAATGTAATCTGTGACATTTCTTTAGTAAAAAAAAAAGTGTATGTTATTCAGTCTGTGTGAAAGTTATAGCTTCTAAAAACGATGGGATGTATTTTCAAATTGATCAATTCTGATGTACTGACGGCCAATCTCATTTATTCCCTAAAATGCCAGGGACAGCCCTAAAATGCCAGGACAGTACAAATCCCCCCAAATGTCAGGACAGTACAAATCCCCCCAAATGTCAGGACAGTACAATCCCCCCAAATGTCAGGACAGTACAAATCCCCCCAAATGTCAGGACAGTACAAATCCCCCCCAAATGTCAGGACAGTACAAATCCCCCAAATGTCAGGACAGTACAAATCCCCCCAAATGTCAGGACAGTACAAATCCCCACAAATGTCAGGATTAGAGATGAGCGAATCGAACCAGGCGAAGTGGAATTCGATACGAATTTCAGGAAAATTCGATTTGCGTCGAATCCGAATATTAGCCTACTTCGGGTGCGCGAATCAGATTTTTCCCGATCAGCCGGCAAAAGTGTCCCTGCAGAGAGCTCCGCTATTTCTGACAGTTCTCTGACAGTTCCTTCACATGTACAGCGGTTGAAACATTGTATCTATTTGTTTCCATTTAGGATACAGATGTTTTTATTCGGAAACAGATACAATGTTTCAACCGCTGTAAATGTGAAAGTCAGAGAACTGTCAGAAATAGAGGAGCTCTGCAGATACACTTAGCGGAGCTCTGCAGATACACTTTTTGCCGGTTTGGAATTCTTATTTTCATCCTACTTCTTCATCTTCTTCATCCTCATCCTCAGAAGAAGAAGAAGAGGATGAGGATGAAGAAGAAGAAGTAGGATGAAAATAAGAAGAATTCCAAGCTGGCAAAAAGTGTATCTGCAGAGCTCCTCTAAGTGTATCTGCAGAATAGAGGAGCTCTGCAGATACACTTTTTGCTGGCTTGGAATTCTTCTTATTTTCATCCTACTTCTTCTTCTTCTTCTTCTTCCTCTTCATCCTCATCCTCTTCTTCTTCTGAGGATGAGGATGAAGAAGAAGAAGAAGAAGTAGGATGAAAATAAGAAGAATTCCAAGCCGGCAAAAAGTGTATCTGCAGAGCTCCTCTAAGTGTATCTGCAGAATAGAGGAGCTCTGCAGATACACTTTTTGCCGGCTTGGAATTCTTCTTATTTTCATCCTACTTCTTCTTCTTCTTCCTCTTTCATCCTCATCTTCTTCTTCTCCTTCTCCTTCTCCTTCTTCTCATCCTTCTTCTTCTCATCCTTCTTTCTCATCCTTCTCCTTCTCATCCTTCTCCTTCTTCTCATCCTTCTTCTTCTTCTCATCCTTCTTCTTCTTCTCATCCTTCTCCTTCTTCTCATCCTTCTCCTTCTTTCTCATCCTTCTCCTTCTTCTCATCCTTCTTCTCATCCTTCTCCTTCTTCTCATCTTCTTCTCATCCTTCTCCTTCTTCTCATCCTTCTCATCCTTCTCCTTCTTCTCATCCTTTCTCCTTCTTCTCATCCTTCTCCTTCTCCTTTTTCTCATCCTTCTCCTTCTCCTTCTTCTCATCCTTCTCCTTCTCCTTCTTCTCATCCTTCTCCTTCTCCTTCTTCTCATCCTTCTCCTTCTTCTCATCCTTCTCCTTCTTCTCATCCTTCTCCTTCTCCTTCTTCTCATCCTTCTCCTTCCTACTTTTCATCCTTCTCCTTCTCCTTCTTCTCATCCTTCTCCTTCTCCTTCTTCTCATCCTTCTCCTTCTCCTTCTTCTCATCCTTCTCCTTCTCCATCCTTCTCATCCTTCTCCTTCTTCTCATCCTTCTCCTTCTTCTCATCCTTCTCCTTCTTCTTCATCCTTCTTCTCATCCTTCTCCTTCTTCTCATCCTTCTCCTTCTTCTCATCTTCTCATCCTTCTCCTTCTTCTCATCTTCTCCTTCTTCTCATCCTTCTCCTTCTCCTTCTTCTCATCCTTCTCCTTCTCCTTCTTCTCATCCTTCTCCTTCTCCTTCTTCTCATCCTTCTCCTTCTCCTTCTTCTCATCCTTCTCCTTCTTCTCATCCTTCTTCTCATTCCTTCCTTCTCCTTCTCATCCTTCTCTTCTTCTCATCCTTCCTTCTCATCCTTCTCCTTCTCCTTCTTCTCATCCTTCTCCTTCTTCTCATCCTTCTCCTTCTTCTCATCCTTCTCCTCCTTCTCTTCCTCTCATCCTTCTCCTTCTCCTTCTCCCTCATCTCATCTCCAAGGGCATTTAAATTAAAGGTACAGTGTTCTGCACTAATTTAAAGGCTCTCTGAAGCCTAGAAACCCTTTTTATAAGTTAACTTCGTAGCGAATAAATTCGCATCGAATCGAATTTCTTCCTGAAATTCGGCGAATCAGCCGAATCAAATTTTTGAATAATTCGCTCATCTCTAGTCAGGATAGTACATATCCCCCCAAATGTCAGGACAGTACAAATCCCCACAAAATGCCAGGACAGTACAAATCCCCACAAATGTCAGGACAGTACAAATCCCCCCCAAATGTAAGGACAGTACAAATCCCCCCAAATGTCAGGACAGTACAAATCCCCCCCAAATGTCAGGACAGTACAAATCCCCCCAAATGTCAGGACAGTACACATCCCCCCCAAAAGTCAGGATAGTACATATCCCCCCAATGTCAGGACAGTACAAATCCCCACAAATGCCAGGACAGTACAAATCCCCACAAATGTCAGGACAGTACAAATCCCCCCCAAATGTAAGGACAGTACAAATCCCCCCAAATGTCAGGACAGTACAAATCCCCCCCAAATGTCAGGACAGTACAAATCCCCCCAAATGTCAGGACAGTACACATCCCCCCCAAAAGTCAGGATAGTACATATCCCCCCCAATGTCAAGACAGTACAAATCCCCCCCAAATGTAAGAACAGTACAAATCCCCCAAATGTCAGAACATTACAAGTACCTCTCAAATGTCAGGATGGTACAAATTCCCCCAAATGTCAGGACAGTAAAAATCCCCCCAGATGACAGGACAGTACAAATCCCCCCCCAAATATCAGAACAGTACAAACCCCCCCAAATATCAGGACAGTAGAAATACCCCAAAATGTCAGCAAAGTACAAATACCCCCATGTGTCAGGACAGTACAAATCCCGCCCAAATATCAGGACACAAATCCCCCCAAAAATCAGGACAAAACAAAAAGTTGTACGGTTTTGCCACACTTTGTTTGGACCATCATGCTTTCAATGGGAGTAGATAATGCATCTGATTTCCTGACTACCTCTCACATTGTTGGAGGCCCCCGGAGTGCCAGGACAGGGGAAACGCCCACACAATGACCCCATTATGGAGAGTAAACTCCTCAACGAGGAATGTCGGGTCTTTTAAAGATTTCTTTTTTTCTTCCACAAACTTTTGGAAAATGCAGAAAGAAAATGAAAATGTATTTTTTTTAATAAAAAAAGAAGTTGTAAATGAATAAGATATTCCAGACAAATCATAGATGTACTCACACCCCAACTACACCCCCTAGAAGACCAGCACAAACATCCACAAAATGTCTGCATTATGGAAAACAAACACCCCCTGCTATTTTCAAGAGGCATAATGAGGCTTTTTAACTAGTTCACTTTTTGCCACACATTTTTGGAAAATGACAAGTTGATACCCAAATCATAGGGCTGTACATCTTTATTACACTGTCAATGATACTAAGATATAATGATACAATAATATAATGATACAATGATATAATGATACAATGAGATACTAATATAACAATACTATGATATAATGATACAATGAGATACTAATATAAACAATACTATGATATAATGATACAATTTTTACAATTTATAATTATATAATAATAATACATTATAATAACATATTAATACAAAGATATACTGATCCTAGAATGTAAGCTCTAAAGAGTCGGCACCCTGTTTCCTGTTGTACCAAATTGTATTGTAACTGTAATGTCTGCCCTCATTTTGTAAAGCGCTGAGCAAACTGTTGGCGCCATATTAATCCTGTATTATAATAATAATATGATATAATAATACATAGATATAATGATACAATGGTATAATGATATAATAATGATGATAATAATAATAATAAAAAATTAAAATAACATAATAATAGAAAGACATAATGGTACAATGATTTAATGATATAATTATTTTATACAATGTAATATTTTATATAATGATATATTGATACAATATAATACAACAAAAATAATAATAATAATAACATAATATTACAATGATATAATGAAATATTGATACAAAGATATAATGACACAATGGTATGATGATGTAATGTACAATATAATACAACAATATAATGATATAATAATACAATGATATAATGATACAATGGGGGGATTCAGAATCTGGTGCAGTTGTGTCTGGCAGCCAATCAGCTTCTGACTTCAGCTCGTTCAATGAAGCTTTGGCAAAAGCGATATAATGATATAACAATATAATAAAACAATGATTTAGTGATACATAATACTAATAAAATAAAGGACAGGAGGGGGGGCTCACAACCGTCATCCCCTGTCAGTGAGCCGTGAGCGTTGTCATACTGACACTCCAGATCCTGCTATGGGGAGGGGCAGACATGACGCAGATTTCCAAACTAAAATGAAAGTGAAAAGAAGTGGATGAAGAGATCTGATCCTTATAGAGGGACATCCGACAAAAAGAATACAGATCGGTGTCCACACACTGACAGATCTCCCCGAGAGATGGACTGGCTCTTAGGACAGAGAAAGACAAGGTAAACATTGTATCTCCTATCTGTATTACTGTGTATGGAGAAAAAAGGGGGGGGGGGGGGGGAGGGGGAGGGAGCAGGAAGAAAAGAGAGGGGGAGGTGAAGAGAGAGAACTACTTAGTTTACAGTATATATATATAATTTATTTATTTATTTCAGGTACTTATATATCGCTGTCAATTTTTACGCAGCACTTTACACATATATATTGTACATCACATCAGTCCCTAACCCTCAAGGGGTGTACAATCTAAGGTCCCTAACCCTCATCATACATACACATACTGGGGACAATAATAGACAGGAGCCAATTCACCTCCCAGCATGTCTTGGAATATAAAAATATATATAAATCAGGCACAGAGACAATCACAGGCCTTTACAATGAAGGTAAACAAGGACAGTGAAGTTTTTATTGCCAACATTTCCAAACCCTCAGGTCATATTTTCTGAAGACTTGAGAAACACGGACTGAACTCCAACAAAACAGTAAAAACTCTGCTCCTTTCATTAAAAAAACCGCTCCAATGAGGAATATTTTTACATAAAATTCCGAGCGGAGTCCTCTCTCTGTGACCCTCCCCAGGACACAGCTCAGCTTGGAAACTTGCTGATTTTCCACTGCTGATTACTCAGGAAACAGAAAGGCAGAGAAAGAGTAAACAGTGACTTCTCCAATGTATCATTCTGTATCATTTATATGTCTGCATATCCAGGCAGCACATTGGATAAATGGTCAACACTTCTGCCTGGCAGTACTCGGGTCGCAGGTTCAAATCCCAGCCAAAGCACCACCTGCCTGGAGTTTGCATGTTCTCCCTGTGCCTGCGTGGGTTTCCTCCAGGTACTCCGGTTTCCTCCCACACTCCAAAGACACACTGGTAGGTTAATTGGCTCCTGTCTAAATTGTCCCTAGTATATAAATGTGAGTTAGGGACCTTAGGTTGTGTGCTCCTCAGAGGCGGGGACTGATGTGAATGTACAATAGATATGTAAAGTGCAGCATAAACTGACAGTGCTGTAAAAGTGCCTGTAATAATAAATGTGCATCAAGGCACTTTTGAGCTTTTTTTTTTTATTCCCAAAAGCTCCTCACCTGAATGTTTTTTTTCTGCCTCTAAACTCCTCTCCATGTTATCCTATGTGTTCATGCACATTGAGCCTTTCTGAAGCTACAGCTAGGAGAATCAGACTATTTTTTTTTACTCAAAACACAAAAAACAGTGCAAAATCTAAAATTAAAATAACACAAAGAGATAAACACTAAATTTATAATAAGTGTCCGTGAAAATAAATATAGAGAGAAAACAGGTGGCGCACACACCTAGTGCATTATCCAAGGTGTATTGTAGGAGTGAAAGAATAAAAAAAACGAATCCCTTTCCTCAGAGCTGATGACCAACCCCTGATGCTGATGTATGATGTATGGACAAAAAAAGAGCTTTGCTGTTGACCTCTCCAAAACCGAGCTCCTCATCTTTCCCCCTGCCAACACCCCCCCCCCCCCATCCTAATCCATCATCACCAACAACTCCACTATCACTCCCGCCCCGCAAGCCAAAGTCCTTGGCGTCATTCTTGACTCGAACCTCTTCCTTCCAACCGCATGTCAAATCACTCACAAACACATGCAGGCTCCATCTTCGCAACATTGCCAAGATACGCTCCTTCCTCACCCCAGAATAACCACCAAACTACTCGTACACTCCCTCATCATCTCACACCTGGACTACTGTAATTCTCTCCTCACCGGCCTACCCAAGTGCAGGCTCTCCCCGCTCCAGACCATCCTGAACTCAGCGGCTAGACTCATCCACCTCACCACCCGCTCCACCTCTGCCCACCCCCCCTCTGCCTCTCCCTCCACTGGCTCCCGATTGCCCAACGCATCAAATTTAAACTCCTTAACCCTGACCTACAAAGCCATTCACAACACTGCCCCTGACTACCTCACCAACCTGATCCCCAAGTACCGCCCTACCCCGTACCCTTCGCTCCTCACAGGACCTCCTTCTATCCTGCTCCCTGGTCTCCTCCTCCCTGCACGACTGCAAGACTTCTCCAGGTCCTCCCCCATCCTCTGGAACTCACTGCCCCAATCCATCAGACTGGCGCCTTCCCTCCTCACATTCAGGCGCTCCCTCAAAACCCATCTCTTCAGGGAAGCCTACCCCACCCTCACCTAACGGCCATTCTCCCTCATTCCTCCCACCCCTCATTCCCCTCAGCCACTTCATTCCCCTCAGCCACTTCCTACTGTACCTTTACCCCCTCCCTCCTAGATTGTAAGCTCAAAAGAGTAGGGCCCTCTTACCCCTCGTACGTTGTTTGTTGTTGTTGTACTGTTTCATGTATTGTCCCCCCCTCTATTGTACAGCGCTGAGCAAACCCTTTGGCGCTATATAAACTCCATGTAATAATAATAATAATAATAATAATAATAATACATCACACATCAGCATCAGAGGTTGGTCATCAGCTCTGAGGAAAGGGATTCGTCCCCGAAACGTGTCAGCCATTTGACCGCACAGACAGTGAGAACACCTTGCCTGCCGTTGTGGCCATCGTCATTTTTCTATGCTTTTTAGATCCATGCTTCGTCTGTGAGTATGTTTTTATTCTTTCATTCCTACAATAAACCTTGGATAATGCACTAGGTGTGTGCACCACCTGTTTTCTCTCTATCCAGTGTCTGATTTCCCCGTCTGAGGGGGGCTGCACCCCTGAAGCATTTCCTTTGGTTGTCGCTGTCCTGGTACCCTTGGCTTCCCTTTTGGCTGTGCATATCCTGAGGCGCTGGAGAGTACATACGATACGGTTCGGGTGAGAAAAAAAAAAAAAAAAAATATATAAGTCCTTATTCCCATCAAAACCAATAACAAATCAATCAAAAATCTTTCAAATGTGCTTCCACCTATCCACCACGTGAGAAATAATGTTGAGCGCACACACCAGATGGAGGGGAGTAGTGAGCCTTACAGGATATAAGGGATCCTATAACCCCTCCAAAGGAACTCAAATCTCCTTCTTCACCCTGCTATGGTATAGCACTCGTCTCCACTCTATTCCTCCATGGATTCCTTAATGGTGTGCAGAGAAAAAAAAGACATCGTGTAATCCTGCCACTCCATATAGAATATAAAGATAGAATCAGGCCGCTCACATGTTTAAATACAATGACAAGCCTTATTTAATGGCCTCAATGGCTTCAAGATAACCAATTTCCAGAATGTAGATATAGGGATCTCACGCTTCTATAGTCACTGCAGAGGATGAACAGCCTTCCACCTCCAAGATGGCCGCTTGAACCGCATAAGCCAGCGTGCGTTCCAAACACCGGAAGTGACGTTTAACCAGAATGACGGCGGACCGGAAGTGCGTCAACGCGATTCGCCCCACCCACAGGGCGTTCTCAAGACACCGCCTTCAGTCTCCAGCCGACATTTATACAGCTCAGGGAGAGCTCACATCCATCTCCTATGCAAAATATCTATATGTACCTCCCACTGTCACCCCTGGTGAATAAAACCCTTCACGTCGCTGCTGCTTCACTAGTACCCCCGCCCACTCCCCTTACCTCATCCTCTGTGAACTGAACCTGAGATTCCTTCACAGTTTATATACAAACAATGATCCACAATTTGGACAATATAACAGAAATCAAAGCAAATATATATTAAATCGCATTAATTGAAAATAGCATTTATCCTATTAAAACTAATCAAGGAAAATGTTATTCTTTAATCCAATATGAAAATCTAAATAAAATTCATAAAAAATTTAATAAAAATACAAAATAAAATAAAAATGAAAATAAAAATAAAGATAAAAATAAAAATGAAAATACAAAATAAAAATACAAAATAAATAAAAAATAATAAATAAAATAAAAAATAAAAAATAATAAATAAAAAATCATAAATAATAAAATAAAAAATTAAAATTAAAATACAAAATAAAAAATAACAAATAAAAAATGACAAATGAAAATAAAAATACAAATAATAATAATAATGAAAATCTAAATAAAAATGAAAATCAATAAAATTTTTTTGAAACTATAACACCAGAAACCTATATTGGATGCAAACATTAACCTTCCACTGAGTAGAGTGACTGACACCCACCGAGAATAATAATAATGATCTCAGTCAATCTATTCACCAATTGGACAAGAAACAATTAATGTCAATCTCTGCATTTAAACCTTTGGGTTTTTTTACTGCCTCTAAACTCCCCTGCATGTGTTTTGGCGGTTTTGCTCCCGCACTTATTCACTTGGTTATGTCTAAGATTATAAATGTAATAAGTGATTACAACCTTTTGTCTATACGTGGATTTAGCCAATCCTCATCCAGCTATTACCAATAATGTTAATACCAAATGATAACAACTGTGCAAAAAATAAAGATCTAATTTATTTACACAGAAAAAGAAACTTGCTATTAATCAAATACAACAAAATATTATGTAGCCGGTATAAATTTAAAAGTAGTAATATTTCTATGCAAATACAGAATGTTACCAATACAAAGAAAGATGACTATAGGACATAAAGTTACAGCAAAGAAATAGAGCAATGCTGATACCTTACACAGACATCCTGATGCTCCGAGGACTGGGCTCCGACAGGGACAAAAAGGACACAGAGGCAGAAATGTGACTTATACCCCCTCCCCCTCCCTTCTAGGTAGTCACACCCCTCAATAGGTTCCAGCATTTTGCTATTTCTGTTCAAGGGGGGGGGGGGGGGGGGGCTCTGTGATTTGTGAAGGACATTAGCCAACTGTAGTTCATTAGATGGAATTTAGGATGGGCCAATGTCCAGGAAGCACACCTCCTTTGAAGCCAATTACTCCCTAGGAGGTGTTAGAAATGACGACTCCAGGGCTTATTCAGCCTGATGGCCCTACTGTCATAAACCTCTACAGGAAACCTAAAGGGGGGGGGGGGGTGTTGAGGTGATGCAACAGATGGTAAATAAGTTACATAAATGGAGACCCCTATCAGAAGTTCTCAATAATATTAAAAATTATTGTAGGCCCAAGAAGGTGAAAATTATTATAGGCCCAAAATAGCCATCGCACATGTTATTCTGAGGGGTTGATTTACTAAAGGCTTCTATGAATTGTTAAGAGAAGACCCTTGTGCCCCTTAGTGCGATCATGAACCCTCTTTTTTTTTCCACTTTTGCAAAATAGCAGTGGGGGTATTGAGGGTGCGATATTGTTAATGGAGAGAATGTGCGCAAATGTGTTTCTTGTGCACAAAATATATCACTTTTTAGTTGTAAGGCTTCCCTCCACATCTTGGACCCCTGAATGGACTGTTGAGGCCCTTCACATTTAAATAAGTTACTTTCAAAGACATGAGAGGGATTTTTGGGGATGCTTGGAGTAGCGTTACTAATCTATGCACTGTAGAACAACAAGTATCCATGTATACAACAACATTAGTAACAGTATTGTATCCGAGGGAATCATCATGTTTATAGAGAACAGTCACTGATGAGAAACAAAGTACATACAAACTTTACATAAGGCAATTTTAAGCAATGTATAGGCCATACGTAGCTGAACTTGTTGAAAAAAGACCCATAATCCATGTGACTGGAGGAGGGGAGTGAATACGGATCACGGCGGGCGGGATTCTGATATTGTAATGTGCACCATTAAGGTGCGTTGATTGGCACTCAATATACAAATGTTAGAGAACAATTATGTCCCAGATTCATCTTCCATCGCTGCCGGCTGTAGACCAGCCACTAGAAACATGAGTAAGCGGTTCAGTGCGGGTCGGGTTATGGCTGTGAATCGTGTTGATACCCCATTGGCTCAGAAGTTTGGTTTCTTCCTCTGGGGATCGTAGCACATATGTGTGACCTTGGGGAGTAATGGTAAGTTTTGTAGGAAAACCCCGCTGACGGGTGATATTGCGCTGCCATAATGTGTGTAGTTATGGGGGAAATTGTTTGCGCTGTTTCATGGTGGCCGCAGAGATATCGGCAAAGATTGGAATTTGGAGAAGGGGTCCCGTAATTTCCCATCTATTTGGCCACTAGGAAAGCCCGTTCCTTAATGCAGAAAAAGCGTATCTTCGCACTTACATCCCCGGGCATTGCGTATGGTAGTGAGGCCGGTTTAGTTAGCCTATGGGCTCTGTCTATGACAAAGTCTTTGGGATTTTCCATTGGAAGAAGAGCTTTTAGTAATTGTTATAAAAAAGGAGATGAGCTCGGCTGTGGAGACGGATTCAGAGTTTTTTAATTATTTCATCTCAATCTATCTTCAAGATCCCCAATTTTTGTTTTTAAACCATTGGATGTCAGTGTTCTATTCTTCAATCCATCCACTATGCCAGGGGTGGGTAACTTTGGCCCTCCAGCTGTTGTAGAATTACAAGTCCCATGAGGCATTGCAAAACTGACAGTTACAAGCATGACTCCCAAAGGCAGAAGCATGATGGGACTTGTAGTTCACCAACAGCTGGAGGGCCAAAGTTGTCCACCCATGCACTATGCTATTATGTGCTTCTGCAAATTCCCCCATTTTCCTTTCCACCATGTCCACCCGTTCTTCCACTTGCTCAATGTGTGTTTAAAGTTTGGAAAGGTTTTCGATTGATCTTCTTGTATGTTTGAGAGGAAGCAGCATCTCTTTGGTAGTGTTAGCAGATGCCGGCTGGTTGGAAACTCTGCTAAAGTTTGTAGTGTTTTAGGGATGCAAACAGTTTCTGAGTCCCATTACTTGACATTAGCTTTTTGATCAGCGGACCTTTAGATTTTGGAGAGGCAGCTGGGGAGAAAGCAGAGCGCTTCTGTGAGCCTTTATCCTCATTTAGCAGAGATTGTACAGAAGATGCTGAAGGCTGGAGACCGGGACCGCTCTGGGGAGAGTGCTGTGCGGAGGGAGCATGCTCCATGCCTGACTCCTCTCCTCCTACTGGGGTCGCCATGTTGCTGGCACCTGGGAAGAAATCTGTGAGCCTCTTATGTAGGCCATACAAGGGCGAATTCTGAATGAATTTTCTTTATAAAATTGGAAATTTTGTGAGTTTTGTAATCTGGTGGTGCCACCATTGATTTCAAATTTCACCTTGTGTTGCTACAGAAAAACATTTTTGCGTTTAAAAATTGTCTTTTCTTTCCAGGTCACAGCTCACGCTCATTTCATTTTTTATAACATTTCTCTCACATTCTCCCATCATTGATTAGAAATTTGTTAATTTAAAAAAAATTTCCAACAGGCCCGATCACTCACATTCGATAGGCGCTCAAAAAAATCAGCCGTTACTGTGGCCCACTAATGGTGCGAAATTCGAACTAAAATTCTTAGGAAAGATTTTCGAAAGAAAATTCTTTTGGAATTCGACCCGTGTATGACCGAATTTAGGATGTGTAGAGCCCGCCGATCGGCAGTTAGAGGAGCTCCCTGTCATCCCCCTTGTGTGTCTGCTCGTGGCCAGTGCTTGGTGCCTCTCTGATGATCCCCACCAGATCTCCCTGTCTAGGCAGTCATACTGCCCCATGGCTAGGCTCTGCCCCCCCCCCCCCCCCCCCTTATTTTTAAAAATTTTATTGGATATGTAGTAGAAAATATGTAGTAGAAAAATATTTTTTTTTTTTTTTGTTCAAAATTATCACTTTTTTTGTTTATAATGCAAAAACGCACCTAAACCGAGTTAACGCCAAAGCGCTTGACACCTGTAAACATGTCTAAACGCTTGTAAAAGTGTTAGATACTTTTAGAAGCGTCAGCCATTTTTTCCGCAAAAACACTGCTGGCTTCCTGCTGGGTCTCCTGTACACATACGTGTTTTAGGGATACAATAGAGACTCAGATACACTGAGGTTGAGCCTTAGTCTGGTTTTTCTTTTCTTTTTTTCACCTATGTGTAACCCCTTTTACAAGTGGGTGCAGGATGTTACAACAAACACAAGATGGCAGTGTCCTGCAGAACAATGGCATTCAAGCTTTGTAGAGCAGCCCCATGGAACTTGTATGCTGAATCGCAGGACTTTGCTGAGGAACAGCTTAGCAAAGAACTACATTTCCTAGAGGAGCTGGTGTGTGGGCAGAAGTGTATATACACGGCTCAAAAAAACTAAAGGAAGACTTTTTAATCAGAGTCTAGCATCAAGTCAATGAAACTCCTGGGGGTATGGATCTGGTCAAGTAAGTCGCAGACTGGGGGTACCGAGAGAGGAAGACTGGATTAATAGAGTAAACCAGATAGGGTAGAATGGAAAAATCATCAACCATATGCAGGAAGATAGGATGAGAGTTTTATTTTAGAGATGGGAAAAGTGGAAAGAGCAGGATTGAAAGAAGAAATATAGGAAAATATGAACTAGGATGTTAGCAAAGAAATTAACAAGCCTCAAGAGATTAGTAAATGGGTTAGAGTCTGCAGAGGGGAGGAGGGGGGATGAGGGGGTGGGGAAAGGGGGAATAGTGGGATGGGAAAGAAAAGAGTTTTTAGTAAGGGAAAGGTTAGAAAATGTTATAAATGTTTATTCGTATGAAATCCTTTTTGGGTTTTTTGTATTAACATGAAAAATTTAATAAATGACTAAATTAAAAAAAAAAAAAAAAAAAAAAGTCCGCAGAGGGGGTTGTTCATCAGTTTCAGCTGCATACAAGCACTTGGGAGCCATACAAACTACTGAGGACCATTCTGAGTTGCTGCAATGACATTTCTGCAAAATGGACTTCGCCTGCTGCATCATTTTTTCACTTTGATTTTCGGGGTGTCTTTGAATTCAGTCCTCTGTAGGTCGATCGTTTTCATTTCCATCAAACGATGGGGCGTCCTTACGTTCCTCACCCATCACCCGTCCATGTCAGTATAGAGATCCAGCATGATATATTTCCCCATTCAGATCTGAAAAATCTTCCTTTAAATTTTTTTTGAGCAGTGTATACGATAATAAATACATTTACTGTTCAGCAGGAAGATGAAGGTGTTGGGGATCACATCCAGAGGACCTGAAAGTGACTTCTCATGGTTGAAGTGCTTTGTCACACAGAAATATTCAGATCTCTTTGAAGTGAAATATCTTCCAATCTCCGACTACAACCGAGAAGAATGGGAGGAGGATGTGAGACTGTGCTCTGCCGTCATTCTCTATCACACCGAACACCAAGGAGAGATTAATATCACCGATGTAGATGGCGCCTTATATGACAGTGAACTATATTACATGAATAATATTCTGGGTAAGAAATGCTTCTTATTTAAAGGAAACTAATTTCCTGAGAAAAACATGGAGGCTGCAGCTGCTGACTACTCATTCTGAAAATGCTAGATCTTCTCTCCTCTCCCTTCCCCTCCTCTACCCTCCTCTCCTCTCATCCCCTCCCCTCCCCTCCCCTCCCCTCCTCTCCTCTCCTCTCCTCTCCTCTCCCCTCCCCTTCTCTCCCCTCCCATCCCCTACTCTCCTCTTCTCCACTCCTGTCTATTCTCCTCTCCCCTCCCCTCCCCTCCTCTCCCTTCCCCTCCTCTCCTCTCCTCTCCCCAAACCCTTCCCTCCCCTCCCATCCCCTCCTCTCCCCTCCCCTCCTCTCCTCTCCTCTCCCCTTTCCTCTCCTCCCCTCTCTTCTCCTCTCCTTCACTCCCATCTATTCTCCTCTCCACTCCCCTCCTCTTCTCTCCCCTCTCCTCTCCTCTCCTCCCCTCCCCTCTCTTCTCCTCTCCTTCACTCCCATCTATTCTCCTCTCCACTCCTCTCCTCTTCTCTCCCCTCTCCTCTCCTCCCCTCCCCTCTCTTCTCCTCTCCTCTCCCCTCCTCTCTTCTCCTCCCCAGCACTGAAATCCCAGCATCATGGATAACATCCGCCCCATGCTGTGTTCCTGTAGGCAGGGAGAAGGTGCTGGTCATGTTGGATAATATCAGTAAAGAGGAGAGATGCAGAATTCCAAAGACACTGCAATCCCTGTCCGCTCATCTCATCTTCATTCCTGAAAAAAACAAATCTGAAGCCACAAAAAAGGAACTAACTGAATTCTTTGAGGCTGTTTCAAAAGGTAAAATGTATATAAATGTATAAGGTGTTGAACAAACAATGACGCTGATTCATAATGATTGGAGATATCTTCATCTTCTTCAGCTACATCATTTTATCTCTTTACTTATTTATTTCAGGTATTTATACAACGCCGTCAATTTACACAGCACTCTACATATGTATTTTGTATAGTCACATCAGTCCCTAACCCTCAAGGGGCGTACAATCTAAGGTCCCTAACTCACATTCATACATACACATACTGGGGACAATTTATACAGGAGCCAATTCACCTCCCAGCATGTGTTTACCAGAAATGTTCTATTCGGAATATCTCCTTTTACAAGTGCTGAAAATTCCCGGTTATTCAGAAGGGATGTCTTCAGAATGGTTTGATTGGAGCGCAAGTGGCAGTGATGTCATTGACCATAAATGGCCATGTCCATGTATGGTCAATGACATCACCTGGGAAACCCCACGCCCCTGTTATGGAACAGTTGTCATCCATGTTTGCATTTGCATGTATGTACGGGATGGAGTGGGGGTGGGGGTAACGGGGTGCTTTTAAATTTGTTGCTTTATTATCTTTATATGTTTATTTTCTTTGTACTTTTTAAATGTTTATTTAAGTTTATTGCTATCTCAAGCAACAAGCCCCCTTGGGATAGCTTTGGGCAGTGACAGGCATTCTTTATGGAGACAATGGGTTCTATTAGACCCCTGATGCCCCCCTTGCCCTCCTAAGCAGCTGATCAAACACAGATTGTGCTTGATCAGCTACTTCTCTGGCTGTACTGGCCAGGGAATGACAGCTCTGAAACTGGAAATGATAACATCCTTCTCACATTTGACATAATTTGCCACAGAGGGGATGGGGAAGAGATGTTCCTCCATCTCCTCTGTGGGAAGTCATCCTGGCAATTGACTGTGGCCCTAGGCTCCTGGGAGGAGCAGCAGAGCCCAGGATCCACTTCCTGCAGAGGTGCAAGAAGGGGCTTCCAAAAGCTGTAAATGTGATTACTTTCACTTGACAGCCCATCTCCAGCTGAAGAAAAAGGTACCAGAATCAGGGCTACAGCTGCATCCATGATCCTGATATGACCACATAGAGCGGTGCTAATATGATGACATCAAATCCACTTTCTGCATGCACTACGAATGCACTATGACCACTGCGGTGATTCCCTTCATTCACTGTATGGCCTTGATTCTCTGGGGTGAATGACGCTGGGTGTTATACAAACAGGGGGCAGCACAGTGGCTACGTAGTTCACACTTACGCCTAGCAGCACTAGGGTTGTCCCTTCAAATCCCAGTCACGGCACCACCTCCTTGGAGTTTGCAAGAGTAAAAGTCTAGTATTTGTTTTCCTTGAGGTGGTAGTGCGACTTACAGCTCTGTGTTTGTCTACATTAGGTGTGAAGACATCTCAGCAGGAGAGCACCGGAGTAACACCTATAACTCATGTATGTATGAGACGTCACCCTTATCATGTATGAAGATAACAAGAATAAAGTGTAAAATGATGAAAGACGAAATTCATACAAATATTTAAGGCATGACCTCATGGCTAAATCTGTACATGTGGAACAGCGCTGATCCCTGATATCTAATCCAAAAGATGAAATAGCTAAAAAAATATTAAAACATTACATATAGAAAAATCCCCTTGTGAAAAATGTGCAACAAATTGTGTGCAAAAAGCTGATAAAATGTAGCAAACCCTCCGAACCTCCAATAGATATATGGTCTAAGATTGTTGAATGTCCCTGCCTGGAGCAATATGTGGGTAGAACCGCAAGGAAATGAAAAATGAGAATTGGGGAACATATTAACCCCTCCCCCTCCTGAGGATTTCCCCCCCTTCATGACCAGGCCATTTATTGCATTACGGCGTTGCGTTATTTTAACTGACAATTGCGTGGTCATGCAACTCTGCACCCAAATTAAATTTGCGTCCTTTTTTGTCCACAAATTTAAATTTCTTTCGGTGATATATGATCGCCTCTGCGTTTTTTATTTTTTGCGCTATAAAAAAAAAAGACCCACAATATTGAGAACAAAACAATATTTTTAACTTTTTGATATTAAACATGTCCAGTAAAAAAAATTAAAAATCAAATTTCGGCATAAATTTAAGCCAAAATGTATTCTGCTCCGTGTCTTTGCTAAAAAAATCCCAATACATGTCAATTGATTGATTTACGTGAATGTTATAGCGTCTACAAATGGCGGTATATATACTGGGATTTTTTTTTTTCATTTTTACTAGTAATGGCGTTGATCAGTGACCTATAGTGGGACTGCAGGACTGCGACTGACATTCTGACACTGGGGGGGAGCTGACTTGGTGTCACTGACATCCCCAGTGACACCAATACAGTGATCAGTGCTAAAAAAAAGCACTGACACTATAATAATGGCACTGGGCAGGAAGGGGTTAATATGAGGGGCGATCAAAGGGTTAACTGTGTGCTGGGAGTGTTTTGCTAGGGGGCAGGGTCTTTGTGCTTCACAGTAAGCACACTGCTCTGAATGGCTGTGCTGTGCAGTGTTCCGGAGCTGACAGGGAGGACAGGGAGGTAAACAAAATAGTCCTCCTCCCCATCAGAGATCCTTGGTAATCACCAGGCGCCGACTAGTAATCACCTGCTGGGACCTGGTGATTGACAGCCAATATGTGATTTTGCTTTACCCGTGCCGCCCTGTGGCAGTATTTATGCTTTAGGCAGTCAGGAAACCGTTAATAATATTAAAAATGGATTTGAGAAACAGGGTGTCTCTAGACATTTCAAGATGAAACATATTAAGGTTCCCAGTTTGCTAAGGCTTTATGGCATGGAAAAAATGATTAATCATTGGAGGGGGAGTGATATGTTGAAGGAAGTGTCTAAAAGGGAGACCTTTTGGATTTTTTAGTTTTGGACTTTAGGTCCACATGGGTTAAATATAGATTTGGATTTAAATAGTTTTAAACAAACGTTTGAGGACTATAGAATAATTTTTGGATTAGTTGAAAGGATGGAGGTCTCCTTTGGAGGTGTATGGCTCCCTTTAAATCAGCCACCATTTGTGGATATGGAATACATGTGGTTTGTCAGGTTATAAATATTATTTTTTATATACAATACTTATTTCTGACTCGGATCTTATAGGAGCTTACTGGGTTTGAATAAGCTTTTTGTATTGAGTTTATTGTACATGCTTTTATATGTACTATGCGGAGAGCGGTTACTATGACCACGATCCAGCACACTATAAATATTACGTGTGAGGTGATGTACATCCTTCTGCTTCCAGTGCGGGTCAAATGACAAAACGTGTAGGACGGGGCCAAGAGGGGACGTCACCACGCTCGGCATTGTTGTCTCGCAGTAGTCGCTCCACACGACTGGGGATAACAGTACTCACAATTCATGTCAGTTTCACTTGTGTTCATGCCTGTGTCAGTGGAGGCATGGAACATTGTAAGTGCATATGTTTTGCAGTCTTAATAAACTTTTTATATAGTTTTAAGCTATGGAGGCTCCTTTCCCCCTTTATTTCCTGTGAGTTGTATATCAATTTAACCTCCCTAGCGGTCTGATGATGTCCATATTTCTGTGCTCAAAGCGGTACATTTTTTTGCATGGAAATATGTATTTTTTTATTGTAGGCCTGTAATTTTTAGGAATAACTCACTGAAATCTGTCCGGACAAGAGTCTAGTAAACATCCCGGGGATGATAAAACTTGAAACACAAAAGCAAAGTCACAGAATCGTTTTCAGTGTCTGATGAGGAATTTCCCCCACCAATCATTATCACTCAATTCTGCAAGTGGTTCTGATTTACTATCGCTGTTCTCTAGCCGGTCTAAAACCGCGTCTGACCTAAAGGGACGCTTTTTGGACGCCATGGACGTTTCTCAGTTTCCAGGCAGAAAGAACAGTAAAAATGCAGGCAGGGCGCCGGACAAAGCACTCGAGACAAAATGTATGTGAAATGATTGGATACAGGAATGTTATACTATGTGATTTTAGTGTCCCCCGTATGTCCAGACGTTGCAGGGGACAGAACCCGGAGGACAGATGCCGGCATCGCCCGGAGGACATTGCCGGGGACACTGCAGGAGGGACATCGCCGGAGCGCAGGACAAGGTAAGTGAAGAAGAGATCCCGGAGCAACGCTGCAGTGTATTCCCGAGTGTAGCTCGGGGGGGTTACCGCTTGTGGTGCTGAAACTTTACCCCGAACTACACTCGGGAATACCGCCAGGGAGGTTACAAAGTCTTTGAAGATAGGATTACAGGCTACAGACTGTCACTCTCAGAGCAACAAGTGCTTATGCTGGTCTATAATTTCACCAGCATATCGCTCTGCTGCGTTCATCCAGTTTATCTGGTGGTGGATGGAGCACAATCTTTTTGGTGGTGTCTAGAGATGAGCGAATCGAACCAGGTGAACCGGAATTCGAGTCGAATTTCAGGAAATATTCGATTCGCGTCGAATCCGAAATTTTGCCTACTTCGGGTGCCGAATCGAATATTTCCCGATCAGCCGGCAAAAGTGTCCCTGCAGTGAGCTCCGCTATTTCTGACAGTTCTCTGACAGAAGGAACACATGTAAAGCGGTTGAAACATTGTATCTATTAGTTTCCATTTAGGATACAGATGTTTCAACCGCTGTACATGTGAAGAAGCTGTGAGAGAACTGTCAGAAATAGAGGAACTCTGCACATACACTTTTTGCCGGTTTGGAATTCTTATTTTCATCCTACTTCTTCTTCTTCTTCTACTTCTTCATCCTCATCCTCAGAAGAAGAAGAAGAGGATGAGGATGAAGAAGAAGAAGAAGAAGAAGAAGTAGGATGAAAATAAGAATAATTCCAAGCCGGCAAAAAGTGTATGTGCAGAGTTCCTCTATTCTGCAGATACACTTAGAGAGCTCTGGAGCTCTGCACATACACTTTTTGCCGGCTTGGTTCATCCTACTTCTTCTTCTTCTTCTTCATCCTCATCCTCAGAAGAAGAAGAAGAGGATGAGGATGAAGAAGAAGAAGAAGTAGGATGAAAATAAGAATAATTCCAAGCCGGCAAAAAGTGTATGTGCAGAGCTCCTCTAAGTGTATCTGCAGAGCTCCTTTAAGTGTATCTGCAGAGCTCCTCTAAGTGTATCTGCAGAATAGAGGAACTCTGCACATACACTTTTTGCCGGAAACCGCTGTATGGAGGGAATGTCCCAGAACTGTCAGAAATAGACTATTTATGACAGTTCTGGGACATTCCTTCCATACAGCGGTTGAAACATTGTATCTATTTGTTTCCATAAATGGATCCATTTATGGAAACAAATAGATACAATGTTTCAACCGCTGTATGGAAGGACAGTCCCAGAACTGTCATTAATAGTCTATTTCTGACAGTTCTATGACATTCCCTCCATACAGCGGTTGAAACCGCTGTATGGAGTGAATGTCCCAGAACTGTCAGAAATAGACAGAAACTGTCACAGAAACTGTCTTTTTTTCTCATCCTTCTCCTTCTTCTCATCCTTCTCCTTCTTCTCATCCTTCTCCTTCTTCTCATCCTTCTCCTTCTTCTCATCCTTCTTCTCATCCTTCTCCTCATCCTTCTCCTTCTTCTCATCCTTCTCCTTCTTCTCATCCTTCTCCTTCTTCTCATCCTTCTCCTTCTTCTCATCCTTCTCCTTCTCCTTCTTCTCATCCTTCTCCTTCTCCTTCTCCTTCTTCTCATCCTTCTCCTTCTCCTTCTCCTTCTTCTCATCCTTCTCCTTCTCCTTCTTCTCATCCTTCTCCTTCTCCTTCTTCTCATCCTTCTCCATCTTCTCATCCTTCTCCTTCTCCTTCTTCTCATCCTTCTCCTTCTGCTTCTCCTTCTCCTTCTCCTTCTTCTCATCCTTCTCCTTCTTCTCATCCTTCTCCTTCTTCTCATCCTTCTCCTTCTTCTCATCCTTCTCCTTCTCCTTCTTCTCATCCTTCTCCTTCTTCTCATCCTTCTTCTCATCCTTCTCCTTCTTCTCATCCTTCTTCTCATCCTTCTCCTTCTTCTCATCCTTCTCCTTCTTCTCATCCTTCTCCTTCTCCTTCTTCTCATCCTTCTCCTTCTCCTTCTTCTCATCCTTCTCCTTCTTCTCATCCTTCTCCTTCTTCTCATCCTTCTCCTTCTCCTTCTTCTCATCCTTCTCCTTCTCCTTCTTCTCATCCTTCTCCTTCTCCATCTTCTCATCCTTCTCCTTCTCCTTCTTCTCATCCTTCTCCTTCTCCTTCTCCTTCTTCTCATCCTTCTCCTTCTCCTTCTTCTCATCCTTCTCCTTCTCCTTCTTCTCATCCTTCTCCTTCTCCTTCTTCTCATCCTTCTCCTTCTCCTTCTTCTCATCCTTCTCCTTCTTCTCATCCTTCTCCTTCTTCTCATCCTTCTCCTTCTCCTTCTTCTCATCCTTCTCCTTCTCCTTCTTCTCATCCTTCTCCTTCTCCTTCTTCTCATCCTTCTCCTTCTTCTCATCCTTCTCCTTCTCCTTCTTCTCATCCTTCTCCTTCTTCTTCTTCTCATCCTTCTCCTTCTTCCCATCCTTCTTCTTCTTCTCATCCTTCTTCTTCTCATCCTTCTCCTTCTTCTCATCCTTCTTCTCATCCTTCTCCTTCTTCTCATCCTTCTCCTTCTCCTTCTTCTCATCCTTCTCCTTCTTCTCATCCTTCTCCTTCTCCTTCTTCTCATCCTTCTCCTTCTTCTCATCCTTCTCCTTCTTCTCATCCTTCTCCTTCTCCTTCTTCTCATCCTTCTCCTTCTTCTCATCCTTCTCCTTCTTCTCATCCTTCTCCTTCTTCTCATCCTTCTCCTCCTTCTTCTCATCCTTCTCTTCTCATCCTTCTCCTTCTCCTTCTCCTTCCTCATCTCCAAGGGCATTTAAATTAAAGGTACAGTGTTCTGCACTAATTTAAAGGCTCTCTGAAGCCTAGAAACCCTTTTAATAAGTTAACTTCGTAGCGAAGAAATTCGCATCGAATCGAATTTCACACTGGAATTCGCCGAATCAGCCGAATCGAATTTTTGAGAAATTCGCTCATCTCTAGTGGTGTCATTGGTATAGCGCAGTGTTTTCTCAACTCCAGTCCTCATGGACCCCCAACAGGTCATGTTTTCAGGATTTCCATTATTTTGCACAGGTGATTTGATCAGTTTCACTGCCTTAGTAATTACCACAGCTGTTTCATCTGAGAGAAATCCTGAAAACATGACCTGTTGGGGGTCCATGAGGACTGGAGTTGAGAAACACTGGTATAGCGGCACTTGCACAACTAATAAGCACTGCACGGATTGGATGGTCACAAGGAGTTATGTTGGACTTTGTGATGATGCCATGACGTTTATAGTCATTTAATGGACACATTTATTGTTCTATCTGATTGCACTAGCACTCTATAATTCATAAATGTGTTCTATATATTTTCAGTGTGATGAGATAGAACGTCATGTATCAGTCACAGATTACATTGCATTAGACCATATGTGTAGTGTCAGCTTTTTGAACAAAATTTGTTGCACATGCAAAAAAAACACACTTCAACATACAGTATATATATAGTGTTTATGTACAATTTCCGTGCATTAGGTGTAGCATGTTTGGGAAGTTCACTCATTTTGATGGGTTGCCCAACATGTGACAATAGCACAAAAGTAGTGCATGTAGATTTAAAAAATATGCCATAGTAAAAATGCATGAAACAGTCCTTTTTGGTACCATTAAGGATGATACTCACAGATGTGAATGATTACTTAAACCAATCACTATTCATGCCTTGATGGTGCTAAACAATGAAAGAGAAAAATTCCCAGCTCTACTTACCAACCAGCTTACAACCGATTGAATTGTTTGCGATAAAAACAGGGGTTTCGTTTGCACTCATTTGCAAATACATGCCTCAGCTGCAGAACCTCTTCATGGCACCCCAATATTCTGCAGTTCCTAGCTCTGTAACTTTTGAGACCTTCCATAGTAGAAGCACATGTATCATAATGGACAGACTGAGGGCAGGTGAGCCTGAGGGAGCCCACCTCTGCTTAAAGGAACACGGGGCTCACTGGACAGCCAGCATACAGCACAATGGCAGCCAAGGTGTCCAGGGCGCCCCCTCACCAGTTTAGCAACAGTACTAAGAAATGGCCACTGCCCTAATCCATACCTGGCCTTCACCGCAAGGAGCACATGGAGGGGTGATGCTTGTCAAACAATAAAAAGAAAAATTCCCAGCTCAACGTACCGACCAGCCTGCAACCAACCGAATTGTCCTGTCTAACAGTTTGCTCTACAAACAGGATTTTAGTTTGCACACATTTGCAAATACATGTGTAAGCTGCAGAGCCTCTTCACGGCACCCAATATTCTGCAGTCCTAACTCTATACATTTTGAGAGCCTCCATAGTAGAAGCACACGTATCATAATGGACAGACTGAGGGCAGGTGAGCCTGAGGGTGATGGTGATGGGAGAATCGTGCAGGAAATATAAACAAAAAATAAATGAGCGTGACCTGTGACCTGGAAAGAAAATAAAATACTTGGGGCCACGAAAATTCCTTTCTGTAGCAACATGAGGTAAAGTAGAAGGCTTATTTGGTTGAATTGAGAAATCAATGGTGGCACCATCACATTACAAAATGCACACATTTTCTGATTTTCTAAAGAAAAATTGTTCGGAATTTGACCCATGTATGGCCTACATTAGTCTGTTTATCTAGGCCAGGGGGAAGGCAACCTCAACACTCCAGCTGTTGTGGAACTACAAGTCCCATGAGACATTGCAAGACTCTGATAGCTACAGGTATGACTCCCAGAGACAGAAGGCTGATGGGATTTGTAGTTTTAGCACACCTGGAGTGCTGAGGCTGCCTACTCTGATCTAGTCAAACTAACTATCCCACAATTGTGAGTTGCTTATGAGAACACTTAAAGTCATAAACCAGCAATGTTTAGGGGGAATCAGTTCTGTTCCTGCACCTAGGGCTGTATATAAGTGGATACCACCTGTCCTCCTGTATGGGTCCAGGCCAGCAGGGGGGGCCAAGCAGCTGGGTCAGTTGGATGTAGTCAGGGAGGGGACTGGCATTGTGTGGGGGGGCAATTCCCCCGTATGGCTCTCTCTGCTGCAACTGAAAGCTGGCTTCTCCTCTCCCTCCCACCACACCACCAATCACCCTCCCTGTGCACCATATGCTTCCCCCTACTGCCCAGGCCCCCGTGTGCCCCTCACCCCCACAGGGATGTCGGCTTCCCTCCTCTCCTTCCCACTGGCAGCTGCAAGCACACAATAGGTTCCTTCAGAATGGAGAGTGGGGGAAGGGTCTGGTAAATATGTCACATTTACCAGCTACTTCCTTTCCTGAATGAACTCAATGAGTGATCTGTTTCGATCACTCACAATGTTCATTCATAACTGAAGCATTGTAAACTGTGTTTATTTGGAAAGGTCCTTTCAGGTTGGCTGTATGGGACCCCATGGTTTCTAACAGCAGCCCTGCCCGCACCCGCAGCTGAATCACGCTGCACTTGTGAGATGCATGGGGCTACCATTCATTCTGAATGGCACTCCTACACATCTCATCCCACAGTCCAATTGTGGATGTGGGAACCACAGCGAAACCACATAATCAAAAAGACCATGTGGCTTCCCTGCAGCTGCATTTTCAAAAAAGGGAAACGAAGCACAGCAGCCCATTCAAATGAATGGCCTGCCTTGCCCGAGCAAATGTGGACTGAATGGACCGAATCAGAGTGTTACACTTAGCTGTGCGCCCTCTGTATGTTTTCCATATTACCAGTTGGAGATGTCCCAGGAACCTCTGCTGCCTGTTTTTCATATCATTTTTTAGTTCATTATAAGGTGCCAGACAATAATGATATCATGCTGCTTTCACACTGATACTGTTTCTTCCTCGGGTCTGTAGTAAGAGGATAGTTGAGTAACTGTATCCATTTATATTATTCAAACATTAACACTTTTTTTTCTTTTATTAAGTCAGGTGATACTGAGCATATAGTGACTCCAAAATCATTATATTTTTACTATCGTTTAAGCAAAGCCAATCACCACCTCCTTCATACAAGATCGGCATCTTCTCAAGGTCAGCAGAAAGTAATTACTCCTGGCTTATTGACAGTCTGAAGGCAGATGACCACATGGGGTCCCTTGACATCAAAGCAGTCTGCATAACGAATAATTATAAAATGTTCAGTTCAGCACTGAAAAACATGCTGTTTCGCCATTCTGTATCACACAAAAAAGCAAGGAAGACTCAACATCACCAATGGTGAAAATTCCTTGTATGACAATGAACTCCAGGACATGGCAAATTTCCTTGGTGAGTGTTCATTATCTTAGGAAACATTTAAGAATTTTCACCTCTGAGTCATCCATATCTATCTAACCTTCAAGATATTTATCCAACCTTCAAAATATCTGTTCAACCTTCAAAATCTCTGTCTAACCTTCAAGAAGTCTGTCCAACATTCAAAATCTCTGTCCAATCTTCAAAATCTCTGTCCAACCTTCAAGATGTCTGTCCAAACTTCAAAATCTCTGCCCAGCCTTCAAAATCTCTGTCCAACCTTCAAAATCTCTCTCCAACATTCAAAATCTCTGTCTAACCTTCAAGATATCCCGGGTCATTACAGCAGAGCTAAATTGTATATATTTTTTAATGCCAACACTCTACAATTGCAAGTTCAAAATTGTGCCTTCTTCCATACTTGGTCATTTTTGTTACCATTTGCATTACTGATATGTTATATTATCCATTATTATTATTATTATACAGGATTTATATAGGGTTTTGCTCAGTTTGCTCAGCTCTTTACAATATATCCATAGGCCGAGTTTAAGGTGGGGAAATAACGGTGGAGCTACCATCTAAAGGGAGAGATATAATAATCTCGTAGGAAGTTCTCTGTAGGGACTTCCTTGATTTTTTGTTAGAAATCAAACATGTAAAAGATGGATTTTCTTACTATCTAATCCTTTTTCTTCTGCTCTTTTATTGATCAATTGTTTTACTGAATCCAGCTGTCAATCAATGAGAAGGGAGTACACAGGACAAGAATGGTTCTGTGCAGTGATAGTCTGTAATCTTTATGTATATATAGGAGCATCATGACTTACTACCATCAGCATATACAATCTAAATGGGAGAAACAAACAAACAAATGTCCGAGAGTCCAGAATTTTGAAATGTTAAAATTAGTCCACAGCAGGAAAACACAAAAGCAACAACACGTTTCAGGGATCAAACAAACTCCTGCTTCTTCAGGACTTGGGTTTAACTCCTAAGATGCCATAAGCACCAGGGATAGTTCATAATGGTGTGAAGGTTGAAGAACACCTTGAATCTGTATGACATTTGGGGGTTTATTTACTAAAGCTGGTTCACTCAGAATCTTGTGGACTTCTGCATAGAAACCAATCAGCTTCAAAGTTTTATTGCTAAAACTTAATTGAAAAAGCTGAGGTTAGAAGCTGATTGGCTGCCATGCAGAGGTGACCAAGATTCTGAGTGAACCAGCTTTAGTAAATCCCCCCCATGGTGTTCTGACCTCCAAAATGTATTGGATGTTTGGTGTTTTCCTGATGTGATCTAATTTTTATCATGAATAGATCTGGGACACGTGGATGTTAGTTTGGCACTTTCCTTGATTGTATATATGGGGATTCTCAGCTCTGGGTTACCCCCCTCCCCAACAGATGTCTCTGTTTAGTGGAGAACAGCCAAACCAGAGCTATTGTGACCAGTGGTATTTTGGCTGACCGATATGACATATATTTGATTTATTGGCAAATAGACCGTGCACTTTGCACAGCAGTGCAGTTGCTCCAGGGCTTAGTAAATGAGCAGAAGCTCTGATGACTTCCATCATCCAATCACATGCCAGCAAAAATGCTGTTTTTTTATTTTCCGTGCCTGTGATTGGGTATTTTTTGTAAAGTGAAGCTTCTCCTCATGTACTAAGCTCTTGAACAACTGCATTTGTAAAGTGCACAGTCTGTTTGTCTTTAGTAAATCAGCCCACTGTATTCTAACTCCTGAAATGTGTTGGATGTTTGGTGTTTTCCTGCTGCACACTAATTTTATTATTAAAACACTTTAGACTTTTGTTTGGTGCTCTATTTTAGACTGCATATATGGGGGTTCCCGTCTCTGGGTTACCCCCCTTCCTAATGGGTACCCCTGTTTTGTGGAGAACTGCTAAACTAGAGCTATTGAGTCCGAGGATTATTTGAATGACCCACTGAAAATGGAATACCAGCGAGCCATCCTCACTTTTCTGTAGGCTACCATCTGTGATATTCCAGGGCTGGACCTATCCAATGTCCCAGATCAGGTGTCCCATTTTGTTCAGAACTGAGCTGCATGCTAATAACTTTGTTTTCTACTTCTTTCTGAATAGAATAAAACATTTGTTTCTTTATTGCAGGAAAAGAAAATGTGATTGTAGTAGCTGATGATTTGAACAGCAATGGGCCTGAAGATAAGGAACGGATTCTGAAATCCCAGCCCCATATTCATACCTTTGCTAACGATTTGTTCTTATTCAAGGAAAAGGAGAAACACAGAGAAAACCTGGAGAAAATAAGAGCAATCATACAGAGAAGTGAGTTTTCAGACATAAATCATTCATACTGTTTATATAAACCGATACATCCTACTGCCAGAATATCTCATCTGCTCTGTGATAGTGGAAAAAAAATACTGGAAGGGGTGAGTGCAGTGATTTCAGTGGGATTGATATTCCGTATATCTGCTCCCCCGGATCCCGCATTCACTATATCCACTCTGTCTGGACCCCGCATTCACTATATCCGCTCTGTCTGGACCCCGCATTCACTATATCCACTCTGTCCCCGGACCCCGCATTCACTATATCCACTCTCCCCGGACCCCGCATTCACTATATCCACTCTGTCTGGACCCCGCATTCACTATATCCGCTCTCCCAAACACCCCAGGATCCCCTTAAATTCACTATATCCACTCTGCTCTGGACCCCGCATTCACTATATCCGCTCTCCCCAGACCCCGCATTCACTATATCCGCTCTCCCCTGACCCGCATTCACTATATCCGCTCTCCCCAGACCCTGTATTCACTATATCCGCTCTCCTTGGACCCCGCATTCACTATATCCGCTCTCCCCGGACCCCGCATTCACTATATCCGCTCTCCCCGGACCCCGCATTCACTATATCCGCTCTCCCCGGACCCCGCATTCACTATATCCGCTCTCCCCGGACCCCGGATTCACTATATCTGGTCTCCCCGGACCCCGCATTCACTATATCCGCTCTCCCAGACCCCGCATTCACTATATCTGCTCTCCCCGGACCCCGCATTCACTATATCCGCTCTCCTCGGACCCCGCATTCACTACATCTGCTCTCCCCGGACCCCGCATTCACTATATCTGCTCTCCCCGGACCCCGCATTCACTATATCCACTCTCCCTGGACCCCGCATTCACTATATCTGCTCTCCCCGGACCCCGCATTCACTATATCCGCTCTCCCCGGACCCTGCATTCACTATATCCGCTCTCCCTGGACCCTGCACTCACTATATCAGGTCCCCCACAGTACACAGAACATGGAAGTGCAATTAGTTTAGTAAATATAAACTGCTAAATACCCTTTTCCATCAGTAGTATAGAGCAGTCTTGTGACTTTTATCAGTGTCCAGCAGAGCTTGTAGGAGGAGTTTTCATTCTGCTGTAGCAGGCCTCCCTGTTCTGCAGGGGTAAATACTCATTGAGTCTTTGGATGCAGGAATTGGCTGGTATTCTTACCTTTTCACTCATTTTAGCAGGCTTCCTCCGCATCATGCCACCATTCCCTAGAAGCCTCTTCTCTTTGGTGCTCCAGCCAGTGGCCATACTCCGACCTCATCATAGATAGTGCAGGACCTGTGGTCCTGCATTGTGTGTGACTACAGCAATAGCTGACCCTCAACCCGGCTCATCAAAGAGAAGAGTTGAGTGCTGGAAGCCTGTCAGAGTGAGGAATAGGATTACCAATACACCTTATTCCTCACCCAAAAAAACCTAATGAGCATTTATTCCTTGCCGTGTGCGCTCTCTGAATATTACTCTTTTATGAAAAAGCTCCCCCTATGACTACAAACACTGGGCAAGCTGAACCTTAAATCTTCACACAACATAGGTCTACACAGGACATCGAGAGCTGGACATTCCACTTACATCACCCCTAGTGGAACCCGGAACCACTAAGGTCTGACTTCTGTTTCCTGTGTCTTTTCTTCTTTCTTTTTTTTGCTTCCAATGAATTCACTACTCCTTTTCTGAACTCACCTCTACCTTGCATACCCTCTACACTACCTTTCTTGCATCCCTCTCCTGATCATCGGGAGCCCCGGGTAACATTTGACCTTTCCTTTGGACTCCCCTTGCCTCCCTTCCTTCTTTCCTGCCCTTTCTTCTGTATTTCTTCATTCCTAACTTAAACCTCGGCTTTCTCATTTGCCCCCCCCCCCCTCTGATTTCATCATTCCTTTGTTTTGGTAGATCTCCCTATTTCACAATCCCCTTCTCTTCCCCTTTTCCAACACCTTTCCCTCTATACACCCATTGCTTTTTCTATACTTTTATTCAGCCCCCGGTTACATATCTACGTTTATTACTTACACTTATCCTTATCGGTAGGCTGGTGGCAGATATTCAGGTGACATCAACAAACATCCTACGTACCCAGCATTAGAATTCCATCACTCATGCTATAACCTCATCTTCTCTCTCTAAATCTTCGTCTATAATCATTAACAACTTATCTTTCTCCCCTACATCTGCCCTCTTCTAACCACTTTTACACTTAGACCTCCCTATCTGCTCGGGTGCAGAAATCTTCCAGCCTGATGACACACAAAGTTTCTTAAGCACCGGGCATATCTATATCTATATTTTGTGATTGAAGAAAAATTTGATATAAACCTTCCAAAGTTGTTAAGATGTCATGTGCATGTCACATGTCCACTCGCCACCTTATCCTGTTTTTCTTCTGTGAAACCCATTAAATATTCTTTTAAAAAAAAAAAAAAAAGCTCCTCAATGGGTAAACTCACCTGAAAAAAGCACCTCAAGTGCTATGTAAACAGCATTAAAAGACAGGTGGCAGCATACAGAGAATATAGTTTGCCAGCCCAGCTTCGGTTCCTATACACGTTGCTCTCCTAGTCAGAGCTCCATCGGTTGGCTGCTGATAAAGCTCTGACTGGGAATGTAACACGTATAGTACTATACAGAGAGCACTATTTTTGGCCCCATTTTATTTTACATGCATACCTACTTGAGGTGGAGTAAAGTTGGTGAAAAGACAAAGGAGAACAGAAGTTCCATTTCCCGTGGCCAAATGTGCCTAAAAGCCCATGGTGGGGCAGTAAGCGCCTTGATTCATATTAAGGTGACATAAAGAAGGTGAGCGTTTTGGATGTGCAAGGGGTGGATGCATGTATCTCCTAGAGTTTTGAGGAACTGATGAGATTGTTATTTCAGCACATTAGCGATGGATTTTTACAGAAGCTTAAGAGGAGATTGTAGATGGACTTTATGTTTTGTTGATTTTAATTACTTTATGTTATTTTTTTATGATTGTATTTTAGGTATTCCATAATTGCTGAGAGGTAGTGAAAACACTGGGTAATGTTCTAGCAGCAATCTTTTCGGGATATCACCACAGGACTGCGCTAATTGTCTTTTTGAGAAAAGTCTGTATGGAGGCCTGACTTAGGTGTAGCACTACCCAATTAGGAGTTGCTGAAGTTTTTGCCCCCCCCCCCCCCCAATAGTCCTGCACAGCCAGGCAACACACATTTTCCACAGAATTGCATTCCAGAGACAGTAAACAGTCCTGGAGCTTGGTTTTTAAGTTTTTTTAGGGGTAGTAAACTAGGATGTGGTTGAGGGGTTTATGGGATGCCCAAGGAACAGTAAACTGAGGACAATTTCCTGGCAACTATATACAAATCTTTACACAGCAAAAATGTTCTGGGAGAGCTCTCCAGTCTCTTCTGGTGTACCACCCCAACCCCCAGATAGTCCTTCTCTATCCAGCAATCTGATGGCTTTCTCTGGACAAAGGGATCCAGTATCTGCCACCTTAAAGGCACAGTCCATCTGGGGCTAGTCAGGTTTCCCAAACAAATGCCCTCTCCTTTCTCTCCAGTCCTGGGGGTGTAGAAGTACTCATTGTCCCTTTCTTGCAAGCTGTAGGTTGGTAGCTGCCTTCAGGCCTTCTGCTGGACTTTTCTTCCTTAGCTCCAAAGATGGTCCTCTTTCAGGGGCTGGTGTGTTTCAGCTTTCCTCTTGTCCAGGTCCCACCTGGAGGCAGGCCCCTTCCCACTGGGCCTCTCTCAGGCTCCACACTAGCCTCTTGCTCTCACATCTTCCACCCGAACTCCTGCTTCTGAGCAGGCTCAATCACACCTAAAGGCTACCCTGGCTCTATGCCAATCTTCCTGCTTGGGGATTGGCCAGTGTCCTCTAAGTGTGCAGGTCAGCATCTCCTCACCCCCACCCACTGCTTATAGAATCTTCTCCAAGATTTTAGACCAGGGGGAGGTTTCAGTGAACTGACTTGCAGGGCCTCTCATCCCTAACCCAAATTTGACCCTGCTGACTATTTCCCCTGGCTGCTGCTCAGCCCCTACATCTAAAAATTAGCAACTAGCTCTCCCTGGCTATCTAGAGGGGCACTACATGAGAAAAGCAGAACCCTTTTGGGATGAATTGCAACACACACTGGAGCTGTCTTGCTATCAGTGCTCAATATCACTAATGCTCTTGTGGCCTAATGGGAGCAAAGCTGACCAAAAATATTCCAGCCTCTAGTAGAAAGCCTTCCCAGAAGAACAAAAGTCATTATAGCCACAAAATGAGGACCAGTTCTTATTAATACCCCATAATGTGATATGGGACAAGCCAAAGGGTTGAAGGGTTGTTGAGTATGTTCTTCTGGAGACAGGGATAATGAATTAAGCCTGTTGATTTTTCATGCATGGGCAAAACACAATTTAACATTGTTACATCCTGTTCCTGCTCATCAACTTACACAGTGCTATCTGCACCCCAAGCCTGATTTTAATTAGCATGTCGCTATTTGGAATAGAAAACAAATTTCAGGTAACTGCACCAGTTTGGACTGAGCAATGATTTTAACATCTTTCCTTTTTTTTTTTTAATTCAGGTAAAGCCAAACACAATAGCCCAGACACAGTGCATCTAGCAGCACATCCCAGAGAATCCACCATGGAAAATTATGGATATTCTGTTGATTATCATAAGAATAGAAGAACAGCAGACCAACGGTTAACCATGGACATTTTGCCTTCTTTTTCAAGATTTGTTGGCTATAAGAAAGGCAATCAAGCCAATTCCATGGAAGGAAAACATTATCCGGCAGAAATAACTAATGTTTATGAAGGTAACTCCATTATTGCAGGAGTTATGGAATATGAACCAGAGCTAAAAAATTGGGATGTATGAAAGTTCAGTTTTAGGTAAAAAAAAAAAAACAGATTAACAGATGTGTATAGCTCACCAGATTGTTTATGACAGGGCCATTTGCAACAGGACCTCATTAGCAGACTCAAAAGACTCCAAATGGAGGTTGATGACATCTAAGCATTCCTTTCTAGCATATCTGATTTCTGTTAAATGTGTCTTAATGTAGGCAAACCCAGGGCCTTCTTAATGGCATCATTGGCCCCTGGGAAAAGTAATGCACTGGAGCCCCTAGAAGCCTGCCCCAATTTACACACCTACTCTCGAGAATTAATGTATAAATAGCGGCTAGAATGAAATTGAATGATTTATTAGTACTTTCAATAAAATTGATTTTAAACAATAAGAAACCATGGAAGAAAATCAAAGACTAATCAACACACGGCACAGTAGGTGGGGGTGGGGGGAGAAGAAAGGTACAATACAGGGGAAGTAAGGAGGGCACACTACTGAGATCAGGGGGGTACAGTACAGTTTCTGGGGCACTGTCCAGGCCATCTGGGGATAGCTTAGTCAAAAGTATGACTGTCCCGGCAAATTTATATGTAACACAAGATTATCAAGGGACCCCTATACACCTGGGGCTCATGGGCAGTGCCCAGGGGTGCCCATGCATTAAGACATCCCTGAACTAACCATTTGTCTGGCCGGCTGGCATAGGCATGATATTTAAATGTTACCAAATTTGTTACCAGCTTGTGAATTTTCAGAACTACTCACTAATTCTCTCCTCATAGTTCTTGGTTTGTCAGACCTCAGTGTTGTCACAGACATACGTTCTAACACTTTGGAGGGCATAGGTGACATCGCTTTGCCTCCTGGGAGAGTTGGGTGCTTGAAATACCATAAGAATGTACTCCAGCCTGTGTTGCTTTTATTTTTTTTGTAATCCATTTTTGAGAATGAGGGGGAGGAGAGTTATGTGTAAAGCGGATCTTCCATTTTTTATGGAAGGTCCAGTTTAATGATTTTCGTGTCAGGACTGGAGTAAGGGGTTAAAGAAGATCTATAATTATATTTGTAAACTGTTCTGTTCTCCAGAGGACAATGAACATGTGATACTTTGTCTTTTGCTGCTAGATTCTTCTTAACCTTAGCTATGAGGTCTGAACTGCACCCCCTCCCCTTCTGCTGCAAAACTGATCCGACAACAGCCAGGAGGGAGATGGATGCTTCAGATAAGCATTGACAAGAGGAATGTAGAGGGAGTGTCAGTGTCTGCAATCCTCTTGCCACTGCTTGTCTCAGAAAAGTGTCACAGCCAGACAGATTTCCATGATGAAGCAGCCATCCCCTTCCTAGCTGTTGTCAGATTCGCCATGGCAGGGGGGAGTGGGTTCAGTTTGGACCTCACAACTTTATTTGGCGCTCTCTTTTAGACTATATGTAATACGGTATATGGAGATTCTACACTCTGGTTTAGCCTCATCCCAACTGGTGCCCTTGTTTAATGGAGAGCTGTCAAACCAGAGTTCTGAGGGCGCGCTTTTGAGCCAAAAATTAAACATCAGCTTTAACATTGTAGAACAAGCCAAAATTTGATTTGCTTGTTGAGGTTTCCATGTTATTGATCGCTCTGTGTTTGTCCATATTAGGTGCGAGGACATCTTCTTCAAAAGCATCCGGAACTGTATGTATCAGACTTCAGCCTTTTTATTTATAAGGACTGTAAATTGCAGTGTGATGAGATTATGATAAAGAACAGAATTCATTCAGATATTTAAGGCAGGACATCAAAGTGCAGTGCTACCCATCCCTGATGAATACATTCAGGGCCCATTTAGTACAGAAATGCCAGACAAAAGCAGTCGTTCAGGAACATTGCTGCCATTTCTTATATTTCTGTCTTTTTATTAGCCTGGGTTCCCACATGTGTGGGTGTATGCACGTTTTACATGTGTGTCCACAGACAAAAATTCTTGTCTTTGAGAGCTCTCCAGCCCTCCTGTTGTAGCACCTCAGACGAATTCTCCTCTTCACTGAGCTTCCTGAGGTAATCCCTGAGCAAAGGGGACCCAGAAACTGTCACTATAGCCGAGCAGCTCCAGATGAGGAGCTAGTTGGGCTGACCACCTGACTGCCCGCTCCACTTAACTAACCCAGCGTGTGTGGAATTACTTACTCAGTCCTCTCCTCCAAGCTTGTTGGTTGGTAGCTGCCTTCAGGCCTTACACTAAGCTGCCTCCTACCCTCCTTCCCAGGCTGTCCTCTCTCAGGGGATGGTTGAGGTTGAGAGACCTTCCCTTCCATCTCCTGTCTGCAGGTAGGCCCCTCTCCTGGGCTCCCTCCCAGGCACCACACTCCAGCCTTAACTCCATCTTCCAATTTACACTACAGTATTCCTACTGCTGATCAGGCTCTGCTCATATTTAAGGGCTGTCCTAACCCCATGCTAAGCCTCTTGCTTGGGGATTGGCCAAGATCCCTTAAGTATGCAGATAAGCCCCTTCTCATTCCCCCACTGCCTTCTAGAAACTTTTTAAATATCAAGATATCAAGTAGCAGGGAACAGATCTGCAAAGCCCTCAGTCCTGACCTAAAAATGACCTGGGTGACACATACCCTGGCTGAGTCATCCGCGGCTGATATTCAGCCTCAAACTAAATACTTAGCTAGTTCCCCCTGGCTAGCTAGAGGGGTGCTACACATGTGTTAGGTGCAGCATCTTTGGGAAGCCCATTTATTTCAATTGGTTGCCCAACATGCAACAACTGTACCAAAGTAGTGCTCCCCTAAGCTTCCAGTTTGCCCTCACCAGCCGTTGTTCAGGTGGTTTCTCACCAGGTGTATGACATTACAACCGGATCTGGGTCACGTTATCTCCGGCAAATGTGCCATTTTAGTGACCCCAGCGGCTGCCATCCACACACTCTTCTCATTGTCCTGAGGCTTCAAGGCTGATCAACATACCGTTGGGTCCAGGATCATGTGTCATCCCCCAGTTTCTGAGAATATGTGTTTCTCCTCTCCACTGGCTTAATGATGTATTAATCTGGGCACTCCTACATGTCATGCTTTTTAACACAATATTAAAGTGTATTTCGATTTTATCTGTTCCTGGGATTGTGATTTTATTGACTTCCACAGGGTTGGGAGGGATCTCACAAATCTCACTCCAAATCTGGTGCGACTATCAGTCAGAGAAAGCAATGTTGCAGTGTCTTAGATGACCTCACACTGCATGTAAACAGCTGTGAGACTATAGAACAGAAGTTCCTAGGTACAGGAAATGCACTGATATTTTTCAGGTGGAATTCTAGAGAAAAAAAAAGGTTTTCATGGTCTGCTGATGCACAGTTAACACTACTAGAAGATTTCTATAACACAGCAAACTTTTTGAGTTCAGATCCACGTTAGGTGCAGGACAATGATTTCATCAAGCTGCTTTGACACTGATATCATTTGTTCTCTAAGTTTGTAGTAGGAAGATAATTTAATAATTGTGTCCAATAATATTATTCAAACATTAACATATTTTTTCCCTTCATATAGTTTGGTGATACTGATCATCGTGACACAATAAACAATTCTAAAGGGAAACATGAGGGGCTTTATGCCGCTGGTTCTACATCAGGCAAATCAAGTAAGCCAAGTCCATCACCACTTCAGCCATACCAGATCGGCATTTTCTCAAGGTCACCAGAAAGTAGTTACACATGGCTTGTTGATAGCCTGAAGGAAGATGATCACACAGGATCGCTTGACATCAAATCAGTCCGCATAACTAATAATAATAACACGTTCAGTTCAGCACTGCAAACATGCCGGTTCGCTATTCTGTATCACACGCAAAACCACGGACGACTCAACATCACCAATGTTGAAAATTCCTTGTATGACAATGAGCTCCGGGAAATGTCAAATTACCTTGGTGAGTGCTCATCATCCTAGTAAAAATGTAAGTAAGTTTTCACCTCTGACTCCCCATGTCTATCCAGCCTTCAAGATCCACCAGCCATTATAATAGACATAAAGTTTATATACAATATATATATATATAATGCCAGCACTCTACAGTAGTTGCAAGTTCAAAATTATTATTATTCAGGATTTATATAGCGCCAACAGTTTTGCGCAGCGCTTTCCAAAATGAAGGTAGACATTACAGTTACAATACAAATTGGTAGAAGAGGAATCAGAGGGCCCGGCTCTTTAGAGCTTACAATCTAGGAGGAGGGGTTGAGTGATACAAAAGGTAATAGCCGTGGGGGGGATGAGCTGATGGAGAAAATAAATGGCAGTTTACTAGGTAGAAACAGGAGAGGCTTCTTTAAAGAGAAAGGTTTTCAGGGATCTTCTAAAGGTGGATAGATTAGGAGATAGCCGGACAGGTTGGGGTAGGGCGTTCCATAGGATGGAAGAAGCTCGGGAGAAGTCCTGGAGGCAAGCATGGGAAGAGGTGACACAGGAACTAGAGAGCAGAAGGTCTTGGGAGGATCGAAGAGAGTGGTTTGGTTGATATTTTGAGACCAGGTTGGGAATGTACAGTTGTGTTGAAAATAATAGCAGTCAGACATCACTAACCGGATCAATCACTGTTTTTGGTGGAAATGATATTTCTACATGGCAAATAATTTCCTAGCAGGTGTAGTAGAGTAATAGAAATCCAACAGACCCAACAGTCATGACTTGCATGCTGCTGATTCTGTGTCATTGAATCACTCATTGAAAGGGGCGTGTTCATAATAATAGCCGTGTGGAGTTCTATTAGTGAGGTCATTCATTCTTTGAAAAACAGGTGGCAATTATTGCCCTTATTTAAGGAAGGAAGGCAGCAAATGTTGTACATGCTGGTTACAGTGCATTTCTCTCTGAAATTCTGAGGAAAATGGGTCGTTCCAGACATTGTTCAGAAGAACAGCGTACCTTGATTAAAAAGTTGATTGGAGAGGGGAAAACATATAAAGAAGTGCAGAAAATGATCGGCTGCTCAGCTAAAATGATGGCAAATGCTTTAAAATGGCAACCAAAACCTGAAAAGACGCGGAAGAAAGCGAAAAACTACCATTGGAATGGATAGAAGAATAGCCAAAATGGCGCGGACTCAGCCAACAATCAGCTCCAGGAAGATGAAAGAAGGTGTGAGGTTCCCTGTGAGGACTCAGCCAACAATCAGCTCCAGGAAGATGAAAGAAGGTGTGACGTTCCCTGTGAGGACTGTTACAATTAGAAGACGCCGATGTGAAGCCAAGCTATCTGCAAGAAGTCCCCGCAAAGTCCCACTGTTGGGAAAAAGACGTGCTGAAGAGGTTACAATCTGCCAAAGAGCACATTGACTGGCCTAAAGAGAAATGACACAACATTTTGTGGAATGATGGAAGTAAGATTGTTCTTTTTGGGTCTAGTAGGCGGAGACAGTTTGTAAGATGACCCCCCACACACTGAATTCAAGCCACAGTACACTGTGAAGACAGTGAAGCATGGTGGTGCAAGCATCATGATATGGGGATGTTTCTCATACTACGGTGTTGGGCCTATTTATCGCATACCAGGGATCATGGATCAGTTTGAATACATCAGAATACTTGAAGAGGTCATGCTGCCTTATGCTGAAGAGGAAATGCCCTTGAAATGGGTGTTCCAACAAGACAACGACCCCAAACACACCAGTAAACGTGCAACATCTTGGTTCCAGACCAACAAGATGGACGTTATGGAGTGGCCAGCCCAATCCCCGGATCTTCATCCAATAGAAAACCTGTGGGGTGACATCAAAAATGCAGTTTCTGAGGCAAAAACCAAGAAATAGAGAAGAACTGTGGAATGTGGTCCAATCATCTTGGGCTGGAATACCTGATCACAGGGGCCAGAAGTTGGGGGACTCCATGCAACACAGATGTACAGCAGTTCTCAGAAACAGTGCGACTACAACCAAATATTCATGAAGTCATTCAAAGGAAAGCAAAATCTTCAAACATTTCTCAGTTTATATAGTGAATGTTTGAGTTTGTAAAGAAGAATACAAACACGGCCATTTTTTTGAACAGTCTAATATTATTAATATTATTATTATACAGTATTTATAAAGCGCCAATAGTTCGCTCAGCGCTGTACATTACAAAGGGGGACAGAACATGTGACAGAACAATACCAATGCAATACAATACATGAGGGGATGGAGGGCCCTGCTCTTTCGAGCTTACAATCTAGGAGGGAGGGGATGGTGGCACAGGAGGAGATAGCTGTGGGGAATGGAGTGGTAGGAAGAGTGGAGGAGGTCGGTCGGGGGGGTGGGGTAGGCTTCCCTGAAGAGATGGGTTTTCAGGATGCGCCTAAAGGAAAGGAGAGTAGGTGATAATCTGATGTGTTGGGGCAGGGAGTTCCAGAGGATGGGTGACACCCTGGAGAAGTCCTGGAGGCGGGCATGGGAGGAGGAGACCAGTGAACTAGAGAGAAGGAGGTCTTGTGAGGAGCGGAGTGTGCGTGCTGGGCGGTACTTGGATATTAGGTCAGTGATGTAGTTCGGGGCAGTATGGTGGACGGCTTTGTACGTCAATGTTAGGATTTTGAATTTCTTCACTTTTCTTCAATTTTTTTAGACGAACAACACAAATTTGATATATTTTTCTTCATGTTGTGATTTGGAATAGAATGTGTCGTGTTCTCAATGCATTTGTGTGGATGGAAATAAAAGCTATTAGAAGGATTTTCAGCTTTATTCACTTTTTTTCAACACACTGCTATTATTTTGAACACAACTGTAGCTGGGGGCAGAGTTGTGGATAGCTTTGTATGATGTTGTTAGCATTTTGAATTTTATTTATTGGGTAAGTGGAAGCCAATGCAGGGATTGGCAGAGATGGGTAGCAGACACTGAATGGTAAGTAAGGTGGATGATCCTGGCAGCAGTATTCATGATGGACTGGAGAGGGGGTGGCCCATGTAAAGGTAACCCAATGAGGAGGGAGTTGCAGTAGTCGAGGCAAGAGATGACCAGGGAGTGAATTAGTATCATTGGTTTAAAAGGGGCGTATTCTGGAGATGTTGCGAAGGTTGAGGCGGCATGATTTGGACAGGGATTGGATGTGGACCTGATAGTTCAGAATCCATTGTTACCCCTAACACCCTGGCATGCAGGGATGGGTTTATAGTGGTGCTATTGATCCTGACCGAGAAATCAGGGAGAGGCACACGGGGGAGGAAATATTATGATCTCAGTTTTGGATAGGTTAAGTTTTAGGAAGTGGTGTGATATCCAGTCTGATATGTCTGTTAGTAAATTGGTGATACGTGAGGAAACGGATGGGGTGAGCTGAAGAGTAGAGAGATAGATTTGTGTGTTATCAGCATAGAAATTCTGCATGCTTCCATACTTGTCAGGGTGTCAAACTGGCGGCTGTCAAGCTGTTGTGAAACTACAAGTCCTATCATGCTTCTGCCTTTGGGAGGCATGCTTGTAACTGTCAGTGTTTCAATGCCTCATGTGACTTGTAGTTTGGCAACAGCTGGAGGGCCCTCAGTTTGCACACCCATGCTTTAGAGCAGTGTTTCTCAACTCCAGTCCTCATGGACCCCCAACAGGTCATGTTTTCAGGATTTCCCTCAGATGAAACAGCTGTGGTAATTACTAAGGCAGTGAAACTGATCAAATCACCTGTGCAAAATAATGGAAATCCTGAAAACATGACCTGTTGGGGGTCCATGAGGACTGGATTGAGAAACACTGCTTTTAGTGGGAGGTGATGAAGGTGGTAATCATTTCCTCAGAGGAAGTCCTCTGTAGGGACTTCCTTCATCCTTTGTCAGAAACCCAACATGTAATAAATTGATTTTATTTCTCCCTGCTGTTTCATCAGTCAAGTCATCAGTCTTGCATCAGGACCCTTTATGTAAATATAAGAGCAGCATGACAAACGTCCAAGAGTCTAGAATCGGAAAATTATAAAATATGTCCACAGCAGGAAAGAACAAAACAGTCACCACGTTCCCAGGGTCAAATAAGCTCCCCCTTCTTTAAGGCTCAGGTTTGAAAGTGGGAAGACTTTTAAGATGACAACCACCAGGGATAATTCATAATGATATGAAGGATGAAGTACACCTTGAATCTCTATGGCATATGATGGTCTGACCCCCTTATAAGTGTCACAACTGCTGTGCCCTAATGTTATTATTTATAGATTTTGGACTCTTGGACCTTTGTTTGGCGCTCTCTTTTAGACTGTATAGACAGAGATTCTCAACTTGGGTTATCCCCCTTCCCAAAGGGTGCCCCTATTTTGTGTAGAGCGGCCAAAACAGAGCTATTGTTCCCAGTGATAATTTGACTGATCTGCCAAACATTTGTATCCAACTCCTTGTTTTCCCCTTTCTCTAGGCTATCATCAGTGTAGAGCAACATCAGAGCCTGGGACAAGGTGTTCCATGCTGTTTAAATTGAGCTACATGCTAAAAACTTTAAACAACAAATAAAGGAGCCCTTCATCTGAGGAAGGGGCAAGTCCCTAAAACATGTTATCATGATGACTGGCTTCTCTCCTTGGTTTGACATGGCTTGAGTGCTCTCCTACACTTCCAGTTTGCCCTCACCAGCCATTGTTCAGGTGGTTTCTCACCAGGAGTATGACATTACAACCAGATCTGGGACACATTATCTCTGGGAAATGTGCCATTTTAGTGATCCGAATGGCTGCCATCCACACACTCTTCTCATTATCCTGAGGCTCCTGGGCTGAGCAACCTACTGTTGGGTCCAGGATCATGTGTCATCCCCCAGCTTCTGGGAATATGTGTTCTCTCCTCTCCACTGGCTTGGTGATGTATCAGTCTGGGCACTCCTACATGTCATGCTTTTTAACCCAATATTGAAATGTATTTCGATTTTATCTGTTCCTGGGATTGTGATTTTATTGGCTTCCACAGGGTTGGGAGCGCTCCTTTATTGTTTTGTGCTAATGTCTCATTGCTGGTCGGATTAGTTGTTGGAGCTGCTCATGCTGAGGTCATCCACATATCCTCTGGAACCTCAAGGTGTTTTCTATTTTGTACTGAGTGTAATAAAAACTATTTTTTTCTTTATTCCAGGAAAAGAAAATGTGATTGTAGTAGCCGATGACTTGAGGAGCAGCGGGCCTGAAGATAAGGAACGGATACTCAAACACCAGCCCAGAATTCATGAGTTTGCAAAGGATTTGTTCCTATTCACAGAACACGAGAAAGCCACAGCAAACCTGAAGACAATAAGAGAAATTATATGGAAATGTGAGTTTTCAGACAGAATTGATTTTATATCTATAGTTATATAGCTAGATACAGTGTATCCTCCATCATACTGCCAGAATATCTCATCTGCTCTATGATACTGGATAGGGGTGAGGTAGTCATTTCATTGAAATTGATTTTAACATCAAAATTTGCAATTTTGCCTGCATTGGAATTTTGACAAAATTAGCCACAATTAGCCAAGAAGTTGATGGAGGTGAAATTCAATTGAAAAAAAAAAGAAAACAACTTTCCCATGTTGCTTGTTAAAGTGTTCTTTGTATCTGGCGGGAATTTGTATGTATGTTATTTCACATTTTATTAGGAGAAAAATACTCTGAAAAAATGTTTTTAAAAATGTTAAAAGAACAGCAGATGAATAATATCTGACTTTGATGTATTTTGATATCCTCTACACACATGCAATGCAAAGTGCAATATAACAGGCATTGCAGTGCAAATGTATGTCTGTCACATTGATGTTGTTCAGCCTATAGGAGCTTCCCCAACCTTCAGGAACCATTGAAAGCCCATTGCACCCTTAACCTCTTTCCCATTGGTCATTAAAAGAAATCTTAAAGCCTGAACCTAGGGGAGGCATTTCATGGGCTCGCTGATCATGTGATCACTGTGATTATCTGTCACAGTGATCACATGATCAATATGTCTGTCTAATCAATGCCTGATCACCTGTCTCTGAACAGTATTCAGTGGTCACAATGCTGGGGGCATACAAGAGTAAGGCCCACCTCTGTACTGTCACATGGCTAGAGAGATTATCAGGACCTGGACCACCTGCTGGAGGCACTGTGGATTCCAGAGCAGAAGGTCATAGTTCTGGTGTCCACCAGCAGGTATCTTCCAGCAGCCATCAGACTCCAGTAATCGGTCTTCACCTGATGTTGGCTACTGGGAGGGTATTTAGTTCCTCCACTACTGCTAGCCAGTTACTGCTTGCTATTGATCCTGACTATGATTCTGATTGAGGCTGATTTTGCCTTGTACCTATATCTTGTACCTTGCTTTGTACCTGATCCCAGTCTTGGTTCCCCCTTCCTATCTGTTTCTTACACTTCAAGTTTTACCCTGTAAATCAGTGCTTCCCATTTGTATATATTGTATATAGTTAGCTTGCTAGTTTGGCTTTCTGTTACCCAGTTAGGTTGCTAATTGGGTATTTTATCGCTTGATATTAAGTTCACTTATTTCTCGTATTTGCTGTGTTTTCTGTTTGCTGGTGTTTGGATTGGTTTTGTTTCACTGTTAATAAGCGTATTTAAAGGATAAGTTCACCTTTTGTAACATGTTACACCCATATTCAGTGTGTAACATGTAACACGTTACGAATGGACCAGCCTCTGCTCCCCCCGATCCCCGTTGTGACAGCTGGCAGAGGATCCCCCCCCACTAGCTGTCCCAATTTAAACAAAATTAGGCATGTGGGGCTCCGCCCACGGCCACATCACTCAATCACAGCATTCTGTGAATGAAAAAACTACAAGTTCCGGCATCCTTTGTAGCTGTCAGATTTTAGTTCTCAATGAACTATCATGGCACTGGGGTAGTTCAATGAGTCTTCCTGTCAATAATTATCTGCTTGCCCATATGGGATGTACAGGCACACAGATACACTGGCAGGTCTGCAGGAGACCTGCATGGCACCAGCGATCATCTGATCACTGGTGCAATACTTTAGAGGTTCCAGAAACAAAAAATAATAAATGCAGATTTTTTTACCTGCAAAACAATGTTCATTTATAATTTTTTTTTTGTTAAAATGTGAACTTATTCTTTAACCTCCCTGGCGGTATTCCCGAGTGTAGCTCGGGGTAAAGTTTCAGTACCAAAGTGGTAACTCCGAGCTACACTCAGGCTTACCATGCGGCGTTGTTCAGGGAGTCCCTGCAACGCTTACCTTGTCCTCTGTTCCCGCGATGCGTCCCCTGCAGCGTCCCCGGCCATCTCCTCTGGCCGATGCTGGCATCCGGCTTCCGTGTTCCGGTCCCTGCGAGCGTCGGGATGTATGGGAGCCGGAACCGGCAGCAAATTTAAAAATTTTAGAAACTGGAATTTTTTAATAAACGAATATGACATAGTATAACATTCCTGTATGAAACCATTTCACATACATTTTGTCCCGAGTGCTTTGTCCGGCGCCCTGCCTGCATTTTTACTGTTCTTTCTGCCTGGAAACTTGAGAATGTCCATGGCATCCAAAAAGCGTTCCTTTAGGTCAGACGCAGTTTTAGACCGGCTAGAGAACAGCGATAGTAAATCAGAACCACTTGCAGAATTGAGTGATAATGATTTGTGGGGGAAATTCCTCATCAGACACTGAAAACGATTCTGCGACGGAGCTCAGCGATGTGCGAACTTGGCGCTATATTTCACATTTCAGTGTTTTTGGTTTGATTACATTATTGAATTACATTTATTATTATTATATTATTATTATTTTTTATGATTATTTATTAAATTATAATTTATGATTTCGTGTTTCAAGTTTTATCATACCCGGGATGTTTACTAGACTCTTGTTCGGACAGATTTCAGTGAGTTATTCCTAAAAATTACAGGCCGACAATGAAAAAAACAACATATTTCCATTGAAAACAATGTACCGCTTTGAGCACAGAAATACTGACATCATCAGACCGCCAGGGAGGTTGAACACACACAGTCTGGTTTTCAGTTTCCTGAGAGCAGCTACACTGATCTGGCCATGCCTGCTACTGGACGCCTGCTTTCAGTATCCCTGATACAGATCGATACATTTGATTCTTTCTTCTTTCTTTTCATTTAGCTAAAAATAAACAAAATGGCCCGGACAAAAAACATCAAGCAGCACCTCCCAGAGAAAGGGAATCCTCCATGAAAAATGATGGATCTGCTGACAGTTATAAGAACAAAACACCACCAAAGCCTGCGGTCTCCCAGGATTCTCCATCTTCTCATTCAGGATCTGTTGGTTATCAGACTCAGAACACTGATACTGCAGAACCGGAATCCAAGAGATCCAGGACATTATCGTCCGGTGAGCAAACCAATTTTATGGTAGTAAAACGTGATCTGCCAGAATCGGCCAATGTCTATTTATGTTGTGAAATATGAACCACAAATGGCAGCTTCAGATATATGAAAGATCAGTTTTAGGTGAAAGAACAAACTCACAGATGGGTATTGCTGACCAGGCTGTTTATGATGGGACATTTACAGAATCAAATGACCAAAATGAAGGATTAGGACAACTGTAATTCCCTTTTTAGCTCATCTGCTTTTTGTCAAATGCATCTTAAAGTGTTACTAAACCCACAACAGTACAATCAGTCTGTAGATGCAGTAAAGCATGCTTGTTATACTCACTGTGGAACCTAAGGGGTTAATCCTCTGCATTGTGTAAAAAGGCTGTTTGATCCTGTCTTCTCTGATCCCCCCCTTCTTCCAGTGTCCCCTCTCTCCTGTCTCCTGATAAGATATATCATGTGCAGACACTTTGCACATGCTCAGTTTGATGTGTATTGCTGGATTGTTTTTATTTTCTTGGGAGAGCGCATGTGATCAGCACAGGGCCAATCAGCACTGTCTAGACAGAGATCATGGGTTCTGTATCCTCCTAGAGCAAAATTAAAACTCCTCCTACCAGCTTTAACATGTACTCTGCTGATAGAAGTCACAAGACTGTTCTAATTGCTGATGAGAAAAGGGATTTAGCAGTTTCCATGTTCTGTGTACTGTGTGAGAGCGGATATAGTGAATGCAGGGTCTGGGGAGAGCGGATATAGTGAATGGAGGGTCCGGGGAGAGCGGATATAGTGAATGGAGGGTCCGGGGAGAGCGGATATAGTGAATGCGGGGTCCGGGGAGAGAGGATATAGTGAATGCGGGGTCCAGGGGAGATCAGATATAGTGAATGCAGGGTCCAGGGAGAGCAGATATAGTGAATGCGGGGTCCGGGGAGAGCGGATATAGTGAATGCAGGTCCGGGGGGGGGGAGAGCGGATATAGTGAATGCAGGGTCCAGGGAGACCAGATATAGTGAATGCAGGGTCCAGGGAGAGCAGATATAGTGAATGCAGGGTCCGGGGAGAGCGGATATAGTGAATGCGGGGTCCGGGGAGAGTAGATATAGTGAATGCGGGGTCCGGGGAGAGCGGATATAGTGAATGCGGGGTCCGGGGAGAGCGGATATAGTGAATGCGGGGTCCGGGGAGAGCGGATATAGTGAATGCGGGGTCCTGGGAGAGCGGATATAGTGAATGCGGGGTCCGGGGGGGAGAGCGGATATAGTGAATGCGGGGTCCGGGGAGAGCGGATATAGTGAATGCGGGGTCCTGGGAGAGCGGATATAGTGAATGCGGGGTCCGGGGGAGAGCGGATATAGTGAATGCGGGGTCCGGGGAGAGCGGATATAGTGAATGCGGGGGGTCCGGGGAGAGCGGATATAGTGAATGTGCGGGGTCCGGGGAGAGGGGATATAGTGAATGCGGGGTCCGGGGAGAGGGGATATAGTGAATGCGGGGTCCGGGGAGAGGGATATAGTGAATGCGGGGTCCGGGGAGAGGGGATATAGTGAATGCGGGGTCCGGGGGAGAGCGGATATAGTGAATGCAGGGGTCCGGGGAGAGCGGATATAGTGAATGCGGGGTCCTGGGAGAGCGGATATAGTGAATGCGGGGTCCTGGGAGAGCGGATATAGTGAATGCGGGGTCCGGGGAGAGCAGATATAGTGAATGCGGGTCCGAGGGGGAGAGCAGATATAGTAAATGCGAGGGTCCAGGGAGAGCAGATATAGTAAATGCAGGGTCCGGGGAGAGCGGATATAGTGAATGCGGGGTCCGGGGGGAGAGCGGATATAGTGAGTGCGGGGTCCGGGGAGAGCGGATATAGTGAATGCGGGGTCCGGGGAGAGCGGATATAGTGAATGCGGGGTCCGGGGAGAGCGGATATAGTGAATGCGGGGTCCGGGGAGAGCGGATATAGTAAATGCGGGGTCCGGGGAGAGCGGATATAGTGAGTGCGGGGTCCGGGGAGAGCGGATATAGTGAATGCGGGGTCCGGGGAGAGCGGATATAGTGAATGCGGGGTCCGGGGAGAGCGGATATATAGTGAGTGCAGAGTCTTGAGTTTAGTAACACTTTAAGATGGACAATCCCCATCTATGGCTGCCTAGCAAATACATGAGATTTAACCACTTTCTCACCGGGCCAATTCTGACACTTCTCGCATGTAAAAATCTAATTTTTTTCTGCTAAAAAATTACTTAGAACCCCAAACATAATATAATAAATATATATATATTCTTTTTTATTTTATTTTTATTGCAGAACACCAATTCAAGAAATCCAAGACATTATCCAGTGGCCAAACCAATCCCATGAAAGAAAAATATGATCTGCCAGAAGACCATCCTGACTTGATGAACAAGAAATTGAATGATTTGCAACAGAAAAACCAAGAACTAGAGAACAGAGTCAAGTCATTGACTTTAGACAAAGATAGGTCAGCAGTAGAAGAGATGAAGAAAATCATCCAGAGGGAAGAAATACATTTCAGTGGGCAAGGAAAGGAGATAGGGGAGAGAGAAAATGTGTTACAACAGCAAGAAACCCAAAGAAAAGAGATAGGACTAGATATATTATCCCAGGAGGGAGGGGAAGGGGCACATGGCCATGAGACTCTACCTGGAGGCAGGAGACGTTCCCAGACAAAGGAACTCATTTGAAAGAACATCTGCAGAAACAGCAGGTTCAAGTTGTCTCAAGGATATGAATATGGATGAGCTAATAACCAAAATTCAGAAAATTATAAATGAGAAGGATCTGAAGATAGAGAGGCTGAGCAAGGAGAAATATGAAATTCTTGGGAAACGCACAAGCCAAAAAAGTGAAAAGTAAAGTAGATATAGTGGGTGTTACCACAACCCAGACCTTTGAACTTTGGGGAAACAGCCAAACACCACTGCAACACCCAGATGAAATTCCCATAAGGGAGCAATTTTTTTCTGTGAAATCATCACTATATACATCCATTCTGTCCATCCCGTCCTGATAATTACAAAGCTCAGTCACACTGTCCAGCCCTGCATGGCAGAGGAGGAGACCATATTTTGTGCTGCTTCAGTTAAAGATTAAAAGTTGACAATAAAGTCCCCTCTGGATGATCAATGTACTATGGAGGGATTTTATCAAACTTTGTATCAGATTCCTACCTTACCTTGCTCTGAATAAACAGCTGTTTGCTTGTATAGATTAATTCTGAATGGGAGGTCTGGTTCATTCTAATCACCTGGTGCATGCTGAGTGTTCTGATGAGAAAATGACACAGTTACTATAAAACCTGTATTATTCATAGTTACATAGTTAGTTTGGCTGAAAAAAGACAAAAGTCCATCCAGTTGAACAAAACAAAAAAAGTTATAATCCTACTGCCATGATCATGGGTCAGACTCGAAGACCAGTTGCTATAGCAGTGGAAAGGCTTACCTGAACCAGCAGGATAGGTACATAGGTAGGTCACCGTGGCGGAGGAGTGGGATCACCTAAGGTCCGGAACTGGTGTTCACCAGAGCGCCTAATGGTGGAGATGGATTTGGCTGCTTGTTGGCACCAGATCGCGGTCCTCAGGATCACCCCACCAGGAGGTGAGCAAGCGGAGGTCTGGTAGCGTATGAACAGGTAAGGATCAAATGGAAATGTGGTCAGTAAACAAGCCAAGGTCGGTAATGAGCAGTCGCAGGTTGGGATCAGGCAGAAGCATAGTTGGGAACAAGCCAAGGTCGGTAATGAGCAGTCGCAGGTTGGGATCAGGCAGAAGCGAAGTCTGTCACGATCACGGCGTCAGACCCCAGACCTTCTCACCAAACTCGTGACCGAAGGGCTAACCGATCTACAACTGTGATGTGACGTGCGTAACAATGCTACACCCAGCTGCACCCTGCCCAACGATTTTCCAGCTAATGGATACAGATCAACCTGCCAGCAGCTTGGATCAATTGTTACTGGGTCAGGTTAATTAGGCAATTAACCATTCACACTGCCACCACCCCCTTTTTTATTCAGAGAAAGAGGAAACTCGACGTTCAGCTATAACACTATAACGGTTGATATAATCGACTGCTTAACCCGGTCATAATACAGGCCGGTTATACAGAGGGTTAAGACAAACAGTAGCGTCTCTTTAAAGGCAGGGATTTGTAAATTGCAATTAAGAGCTATAGAAACAGTTCAACACTTTCAGAAAGAGAGATTTATTACTAAAAGGGTCAAACAGGTGCAATAAAATTATTTACAGAGAAGATGTAACTAAGAGATATATATATATATATATATATATATATATATATATATATATATATATATATACATAGAAAACAGCACAGCACAGCAAAAAGATAACAGGGAGAAGGTAAAGGGTTAAGTTACTTGCCATTAAGCCTTGGATGGAAGCAGATCATGTTTCAGAGCGAAAGGCACGGGTCTCCCCAGGTGGTATATTGATGTTAAAAATGAGGGATGTCTTCAAAACTTACTACTCTTAGGCTTGACAGCCTGCTTTAAAGTTTCCCAGCAGGGGGTGGTTCTGAAGTAAAAAAACAATCCCCTGTTTAGGGAGGGATTGTCAGGCTGAACCCTAAACTGGAGCCCACATCTTTCATAATTCATATTCTGGTCCATAACTTTCCATCTGCACAAGCGACAGTCCGCCCGCAGGTATATTATTATGCAGACAAGTCTGAGGATTATTTAGATATAAATTATGAAATTATATATTGCACGGTTCACGAGTTCTATTTTTCGGTTTCCCTGATGGTCCGAGTGACCCATCAAACTGTTCGCCCGCTCATTGGCCATCTGACGAGGTGTCCGGTTTTTATGTAAGTCTCTCACATTTCAAAATATGTAACATAGGGGAAAAATTGATTTGAGAAGATTTCATCTAATTCTGTCACCTACGCTGAGCAAGGGTTATTAGCTCAGAGTCCCTTTCAGCTCCTGGGAAGGCTCCCCTATCCCTTCACGAGGCGTGAAATTATACAGGTACTTTGGCCAGTGAGACTCCAGCTCTGTTGGGAAAGCTGGTCCTATCTCTTCCTAGGTGAGAAAGGATACAGCTTTCACAGACAGCTCGGCACCTAGCTAGAGATGCCTTGGCTGGCCAGTGGCCCAAAAAAAGTACACACACACACACTGCCACTGTGCCTCTCAGGAAGGGAAGGGGAAGGAGAATCAGGGAATAACATGCTACTCTTAACAAAATGGCAGACTGCGTCAGTCTCTGGGCACGCACATTTGCAACATAGTCGGGAACAAGCCAAGGTCGGTAATGAGCAGTCGTAGGTTTGGATCAGGCAGAAGTGTAGTCGAGAACAAGCCAAGGTCGGTAATGAGCAATCATAGGTTTGGATCAGGCAGAAGTGTAGTCGAGAACAAGCCAAGGTCGGTAATGAGCAGTCGCAGATTGGGATCAGGCAGAAGCATAGTTGAGAACAAGCCAAGGTCGGTAATGAGCAGTCGCAGGTCAGGATCAGGCAGAAGGGTAGTTGAGAACAAGCCAAGGTCGGTAAGGAGCAGTCGCAGGTTGGGATCAGGCAGAAGCATAGTCGAGAACAAGCCAAGGTCGGTAAGGAGCAGTCGCAGGTTGGGATCAGGCAGAAGCGTAGTCGAGAACAAGCCAAGGTCAGTAAGGAGCAGTCGCAGGTCGGGATCAGGCAGAAGCATAGTCGAGAACAAGCCAAGGTCGGTAATGAGCAGTCGCAGGTTGGGATCAGGCAGAAGCGTAGTCGAGAACAAGCCAAGGTCGGTAAGGAGCAGTTGCAGGTTGGGATCAGGCAGAAGGGTAGTTGAGAACAAGCCAAGGTCAGTAATGAGTAGTCGCAGATTGGGATCAGGCAGAAGCATAGTTGAGAAACAAGCCAGGGTCAATAATGAGTGGTAGCAAAATACGGATAACAGCAGAGATGATAAGGAGCATGATACTGGCTTGATTGCACAATAATCTGGCAACACAGGAAGTGCAGCGACATGGCTTATATCAGGAAGTTCATGGGAGGAGTGAGGGATTAAAGGTTCATGACAAACAAGGTCAAGGTAGGATCATCCAAATAATTGCCAAGTGAGTTGTCCAGCATTCCAGGTAGCTCAGCAAGAATAAACATTGCCCCTCACTGCAGAAGGCTCAGGTTTGGACCCAGGCTCTGACAGCTACACCCACAGTTGATCCAGAGGAAGGCAAAAAAAACCCAGCAAAGCACGATCCAATTTGCTCCTGCAGGGGAAAAAATTCCTTCCTGATCCCCCGAGAGGCAATCAGATATTCCCTGGATCAACTTTCCCTATAAGTGGGGGTGATAGGGGACATTGGGGATTAGTGGAGGGAGAGGAGGAACATTGGGGATAAGTAGAGGAGAGGGGGATAATGGGGGGGGGGGGGGCATTTGGGATAAGTGGAGTGGGGGGGGTGAGCATAGTGTGCCCTATGTGACTGTACTGCACATGCTGAGTGTCACACACCACAGTCCACTCAGTCAGAAGATTCCTGGAGGTGTCCATTATGGGGGGGGGGTACAGCAGCACACCCATTCCTGGAACAGCAGAGGGTCAGAGATCTGAGCAGTAGCTGCAGGGACTGGAGGCAGCTCAGTGTCCCGGGACTGACAGCCAATAGGAAGAAGTCAGGAAAGTATGCATGCACATCCTTCGGAAAGAGAAGCACAACTCCCAGTGCTGGCTTTTCATTGCAGGGGATTACAATCTGCAGTAGAGTGCGGAATAAGGACAGGCGGGAGTATCATACAGGATTGGGAGATACAAAGGGATGTTTGCTAGGAGATCGGAGTCCTGTACCATGTTCTCGCTCAGAACGGCAACCACACTGAAGGAAATACCGCTCCCCGCCCTCTCCTCTGCGGTCATGTGCCGAGCAGTGCGGGTTTGAGCTCCCGGTCTAGCAGCCAGTCTTCTCTCTTCAGCTTCTGCTAGCGCCAGAGTAGCCTACAGCAGGGCTAAATGTGGAAGAAAACTTCTTGCCCGGCGCCCGGAACTGCATGTCCCAGGCATCGGGCGATGGGAATTAAACATCCCTGACCTCTCTGGAGTCTATACCTCTCCTAATACAGACAAGGATTTTGCTCGCTTTAGAACCCGCAGTTTGGCATTGCTGCCATTATTAAGCTTAATATCTCCCAGAACCCCCAGATCCTTCTCCACCATTGACCCCCCCCCGATCCTTCTCCACCATTGACCCCCCCAGATCCTTCTCCACCATTGACCCCCCCAGATCCTTCTCCACCATTGACCCCTCCCAGATCCTTCTCCACCATTGACCCCCCCAGATCCTTCTCCACCATTGACTCCCCCCAGATCCTTCTCCATCATTTCCCCCCCTCCAGATCCTTCTCCACCATTGACCCCCCCCAGATCCTTCTCCACCATCGACCCCCCAGATCCTTCTCCACCATTGACTCCCCCAGATCCTTCTCTATCATTGACCACCCCAGATCCTTATCCACCATTGACCCCCCCCCAGACCCTTCATCATTGACTCCCCCAAATCCTTCTCACCATCGACCCCCCCCAGATCCTTCTCCACCATTGACCCCCCCCCCCCAGATCCTTCTCCACCATCGCCCCCCCCCCCAGATCCTTCTCCACCATTGACTCCCCAGATCCTTCTCCACCATTGACCCCCCCCCCAGATCCTTCTTCACCATTAACCCTCCCAGATCTTTCTCCACCATTGACCCCCCAGATCCTCTTCTCCACCATTGACCCCCCCAGATCCTTCTCCACCATTGACTCCCCCAAATCCTTCTCCACCTTTGAACCCCCCCCCCCCGATCCTTCTTTTCTCTGTTATTTCCTCATTGACAGTAGTTCATATGTCAGTTTAATTCTTG